AGAGTCAAGAAGCGAAACCGACGGGGAGATGCGGGCGCCAGGGCAAGGGACCCAGAGCCTGGCGGAGATCCTGGCGGCAGGAGGCCAGGAGGTGGCAGGAAGCCGAGGAGAAGACAAGGCCCAGAACGGACACGTGGACGCACCTAGAACCTGTCCCCATCTGGAGCCTTCGGCAGGTGAGGGCACCCCAGGCCTGGCTGGCTCCCATGGTGCAGCCCCAGGGGAAGAAGAGTCAGAAGCGTCTGCCCGCCGCCCTGCAAGCAAGCCGCTCCCGGAGCCGGGGGAGCTGTTGGCCCGGGCAGAGGGTGCGCACTTGGCCGGCCAGCCCGTGACCCCTGACAGGAGGCACGAGAAGACCACGGCTCCGCTCAAAGCTCAGAGACATCCGCGAAAGAACAAAGCCGCGAGTGGAGGCAACGCCTTGGGCCCGACATCCCAGCTGCACCCTGACCCACCGGCTCCGGATGCTCACTCAGTCCTGCCATCCAGGCTGTGGCGCTGGGCCCCCAAAGCTGCCCTGGCTGCGGGCGCTCTCAGGAACCCCAAGCAACTGGTCCTAAAGAGAAGCCAGCAACTGCTGCTGGAGTCCCTCCTGCACCGCAAGAGCGCTCACCTACGCTGGGGCCTCCCGCAGCGGGTCCTGGAGTCCCACGTGCTCTCCCCGTCAGGCCCCTGTGCCCCACCCCTGGCCCCGACGGCGCATCCCGGATTCCACGGAGGCTGCAGGCAGCCAGAGCCACTTGAAAGACCCGGGGACGCCCCGGAGTTCCCAGAGAGGGCTCGGCCCCCAGAAAGAAAAAGTTGGCAACATCCTCCCCAAGGCAATGGGTTGGAGAAGGGTGGGCCACCCCGCTGGTCAGCCGAGGACCGTCCGCTCCATCCAGAAAGGCCGAGAGGAGTCCGGCCAGCAGGGGGCCTCAGAGAACCACAGCAAGTGCGGGAAGCGGCTGGTCCAAGGACCCAATTCCCAGGGTCCAGGCCTGGCCCAGAAGAAGCGGCCCCCGGGCCCTGCCGTGAGGAAGGCAGCAGCAGGAATATGGGCAGGCCAGGAGCCTCCCAGGGGCTCTCCAGGGCACCCGGCAGAGCGGGGACCACACACTCCAGTTCAGGCCCGGGCCCCCAGGATGCCCCTGAGCCCCCCCGAAGCCAACATCAGGTGCCCACACTCCAGAGAAGAGGAAGTCTGGAGCCGGCTGAGAAACGCCTGCCGGGGCCAAGGCCTTCCTCCCAGGTGCCAGGCGCTTCCAGCTTTAAAGGAAGCTTGCAGGGCACTGTGGCCAGGCTGGGCACGGCCCTGTGGAACAGAATAACCTCCAGCCCACACCTGGCCCGGCGCCAGCCATGGGCCCCCACTCCGAGGCATCCCGACCCCTTGGTGCCCTCTAACCTGGGTCCCCCACCTTCCCGAGAGGACAGCATCCGACTTCTTCAGCGTCCAGACGGCCACTGCGCTGGGCTTGCTCCCCCCAACACAGATGTCCCCCAGAAGCCCAAAGGGGCCCCACCGGCTCTGGCGGCCTCCCCGAAGTCTGGTCTGATGAAGCATCTACGGTATTTTCTGTTGCAGCGAGTTTTAAGAAAGTAGGGAGACGTTCCCCGCGTCCTCAGCACCTCAGGGAGGCCTCAGAGTGGTGGTGAATAAAGTCAATTATTTGGCCTTGAGGGTTTCTGATTTCCGTAGTGCATGTCTTCTGAGTGTCTTCTGCGTAGGGTCGGTCTTCAAATCCAGTTGGTGGCTTTGAAGATGTGGGAAAGGAGGCTTGGCTCAAGGGCACAGGGGAGCAAAAGCCTGCCACCCCCAAACAGCTTGGCAACAGGCTGATTTTATGGGAAAGGGCTCTAAAGCCTGTTTCCATGTGGCCCTTTCCTGGGGGGGGGCAGGGGGAGTCTCCTGGAACATCCAATTGTGTTTCGATGGAGAAGGCAAAATTCAAATCTACGTTACTGAGTTACCCCAGCTGACTGTCCTTTACATGAGGGATTTACGGTGGTCTCAGAAGCTTAGGCGGGTGAGAGGCTCAATCCTCCTGGGTCTCTCCCATGAATACAGGACATTTACATGATTGTAAGTGAAGTAAAGTAAAGGCCCTCCCGTTGTTCGTCGATTTGCTCGAGCGGGCCCAGTAACGTCTCCATTGGAGATTTTGTTGTTACTGTGTTTGGTGTATCGAATACATCACGGGTGGCTTGCCAGGCTCTGCCGTGTGGGTGAGATACTCCCGGTAGCTTGCCGGGCTCTCCGAGAGGGGCGCAGGAATCGAACTCTGGTCGGCCATGCTGGCTGCGTGCAAGGCAAACGCCCTACCGCTGTGCTATCGCCCCTGCCCCAAATAAATACCCCTAAAGAAATCCCCTAAAATGCATATGGACTTTTTTTGTTTTTTGCTATTTTGGGGCCGCATCTGGTGATGCTCAGGGATCACTCCTAGGTCACACCACTCAGGAATTACTCCTGGTGGTGCTCAGGGGACCATATGGGATGCCGGGGATTGAACCTGGGTTGGCCGCATGCAATGCAAGTGACCTACCAGGCGGGCCATCTCTCCAGGCCCTGGACTATTTAGTAACACAGATGATGTATGTGATATAGGGGAATCCTCCTACTATCCCTTACTGGGGCGGTACGTGGCTCCCCGGATCAGAGGAGGATGAGTTCCCAGGACAGCAAGAAGGGCAGGTCCAGGTCTTTTCTGAGAAAGGGAGTTTACATATCTTTGCACATGGCCATTGCAACCACAGATGGGGGGTGGGGGGGTATCTGCAAGGGAGATAGATCACGTGGTAGAGCACATACCCGGCATAAGCAAGACTCTGAGTATGACCCTTGACGCCTCCTGCCCCACCAAGTGTCACTGCTTGGGGCCTCAGCTCTGCTGGGAGCAACACTTCCAAGAGTGTAAGGACAACAGAAGAAAAGGGAATGACAGATGGCTCAAAAAACTGGAGCGCATGGGGGCTGGAGTGATAGCACAAAGGGTAGGGCCTTTGCTTGCACACGGCCGAGCTGGGTTCGATTCCCAGCATCTCATACGGTCTCCCAAGCACCGCCAGGAGTAATTCCTGAGTGCAGAGCCAGGAGAAACCCCTGAGCATCACCGGGTGTGATCCAAAAAGAAAACAACAACAACAACAACAAAACCAAATTGGACTGTTTGCTGTGCCTCTTAGAAGCCCAGGTTCAATCCCCAGCGCTGCAAAAATCCTTCAGCCCCTGTGGGAGAAGTAACCCTCAACAAGAAACATAAAATAGATATCAAAATTCTTTTTTTTTTGAGCAAATTTTACTACCTCTGATGTATTTAAGATGTATCGAATGTTTAACAACGATTTGCACAATCCTGAAGCTTCTGTACTTAGCACTGGAATGAGAAGCTTTCTATATTCAGAATTTTCTCCACCATTACTTCATAGTTGTACTAAAACCCACCGTTGCCCACTATACTGCCAAGGGGTATGGGTCATAGGGGTGTGAACAACCGACACCATGTTGGACCTCAAAACTAGGTAGAATATGGGAGAAACATGTACTTCCTCATGGGGGGAGGGGTGGAATTCCTATTTTTAAATTAATTTAATTTTAGTGCTGGGAGTAGAGGACCAAAAAGCAAAAAAAAAAAAAAAGTATAGTTTTTATTTTGGGCTGGAGCGATAGCACAGCGGGTAGGGCGTTTACCTTGCGCACTGCCCAACCGGGTTTGATTCCTCTGCCCCTCTTGGAGATCCTCCAAGCCAATCACACCTTGGAGGTCCTCCAAGCCCATCACACCTTGTGAGCGACACACCCCACCACTGAGCTGCACCCCCAGTTTCTGTGTTAAGTTGGTTTAAAAGGCTATTACAGGTAGTGCTGGGGCTGGGGGCCAGGCTTGATCCAGGACACTACTTGAAAAGCATGCACACCACGGTCACGGTCCTCCCGTTGTTCATCGATTTGCTCAAGCGGGCCCAGTAATGTCTCCATTGTGAGACTTATTGTTACTGTGTTTGGCATATCGAAGACATCACGGGGAGCTTGCCAGGCTTTGCCTTGGCGGGCGAGATACTCTCAGTTGCTTGCTGGGCTCTCCGAGAGGGGCGGAGGAATCAAACCCGGCTCGGCCAGGCTGGCTGTGCACAAGGCAAACACCCTACCCATTGTGCTATCTCTCCAGCCCCAAAAGCTATAAAGGTAAAGGTAAAGGCCCTCCCGTTGATCGAGCGGGCCCAGTAACGTCTCCATTGGAGACTTTGTTGTTACTGTGTCTGGCATATCGAATACTCTCGGTAGCTTGCCGGGCTCTCCGAGAGGGGCGGAGGAATCGAACTCGGGTCGGCCATGTTGGCCGCTTGTAAGGCGAACGCCCTACCGCTGTGCTATCGCTCCAGCCAGCCCCAAAAGCTATACTTGCAAGAATAGTCTGCTACTGGAGAAGTTTCGCTGATGGTAAAGAGCAGCAGAAACCACGAGGAGGACCCAGAGCATCTTCTCCTGAGCCTGAAGCAGTTCTGGGGGTCCTTTGGAGCGTTCTTCCCTTGGAAGAGGGAGAGGGAAAGGATGCAGTCTGAGTGGTTTTGTAAAACAATAAAAATAAATTTAAAAAAATGCTTGTCAACTTTTGGTGTGACTCATATTAAATACTAAAGGCATGAGCTGTATACGTATAGTAAAGCAGGTAAGGTGCTTACCCTGAATAGGGTTGATCCAGGTTCGATTCCTGACGCTGCATTTGGTCCCTGGAGGACTGCCAGGAGTGATCCCTGAGCACCCCTGGGAGTGCCCCCCCCCCCCCCGCCCCGGGTCCTCAGCACCACCTAAAATATACAATCCCGTGTCCCATGCTCCTAAATACTTTCCAAGCCTTCACTGCGGCTAAGACAAGACCACTCCTCCGCACCCCTCCCCCCCCCCGCGGGAGCGTGCCCGTTCGCGCAGGCGCAGACTCACCTGCAGGTGCGCGCGGGCCCCAGTGCGCATGCGCCCGCCATGCGCGGGACCAGGCGGCCTTGTGCGGGCGACGAAGATGGCGCTGAGGGACGACGAGGCGGCGCTGCTGCTGGACAAAGCCCATTTCCGACACGCCCCGCGCTGGCTGCTGCCCGTGCCCCCGCGCCTGTGCCTGGCCTGCGTGCTGGAGCTGCTGCCCGAGGAGGCTGGGGTGTCGGTGCGCCCCGTCCCGGGCCGCCTCGGGGGTCCCAGGGGCGGGAATGTGGCGGGGGCGGCGGGGGCAGCTGCGGCCGAGGCAGAAGTGGGGTGCAGGGGAGGCTGGGGTTTTTATTATTATTATTATTTTGCTCTTTGGGTCACACCCGGCGATGCTCAAGGGTTTCTCCTGGCTCTGCACTCAGAAATTACCCCTGGCGGTGCTCGGGGGACCCTATGGGATGCTGGGAGTCGAACCCGGGTCGGCTGCGTGCAAGGCAAACGCCCTCCCCGCTGTGCGATTGCTCCAGCCCCTGGGGATTTTCTTTAAAAAAAATTATTTTTTTTTTTGCTTTTTTTTGGGTCACACCTGGCGATGCACAGGGGTTCCTCCTGACTCTGCAGTCAGGAATGACTCCTGGCGGTGCTCCGGGGACCCTATGGGATGCTGGGAATCGAACCCGGGTCGGCTGTGTGCAAGGCAAACGCCCTCCCCGCTGTGCTATAGCTCCAACCCTCTTCTTTAAATTTTTTTTAATTAAATCAATGTGAGATAGGCCCTTACAAAGCTGCTCATCTCATGGTTAGGTTTCAGCCCTGCAGTGTCCTGCACCCACCCAGGGGAGAGCTGTTGAACCAGCAGGGTCGTGGGGTGCAGGGTGGTCCCCTAGTAGCTCCCCACGGATGCCCAGAGATGCTTCGAAGTAGCTTTTGGGAGATCAAGGTTGTCTGGGGTTGGGCCCGTGTATTGTTACCTGTGTGTGTGTGTGTTCAAAGCAGTGTTCAGAGTGTCCCGGGGACAGTGCCCCACGCTTCACTGTTCAGACCGTTGAAGGGAAAAGAGCCGTAGCCTAAAGCTTAGGTGGAATCTTGGGTTTGATTCCTTGGGAAGGTCTCAGGTTTCTCATCTCTAGCACAGTGATGGTAATAATGCCAGTTTTGACTTGCTTCGCCCACTTGAGTTGTTTATTTGTGTGTATGTTTGTTTTGGGGGTCACACTGGTGGTGCTCAGGGCTTGCTCCTGGCTCTGTGCTCAGGGATCATTCCTGTTGGGGCTCACGAGACGGTAATGTGGTGCTAGGGATCCAACCCACGCTGGTCGCTTGCAAAGTGAGTGCCCTGCCCCCTGTAGTGTGACTCAGGTTCCTGCCTCATCAACTCGCAGTGTAAAGAAAGAGTAGACAGGAGTGATTTATGAGCAGTCTAGGTGCTGGAGCGATAGCACAGCAGTAGGGCATTTGCCTTGCACACGGCCAGCCCGGCCGACCTGGATTCGATTCCTCCGCCCCTCTCGGAGAGCCCGGCAAGCTACCGAGAGTATCTCGCCCTCACGGCAAAGCCTGGCAAGCTCCCCGTGACGTATTCGATATGCCAAACACAGTAACAACAAAGTCTCCAATGGAGACGTTACTGGGCCCGCTCGAGCAAATCGATGAACAATGGGAGGACAGTGCTAAGTGCTAGGTGCTGTATAAAGGTGGTTAGGCTATGAGGAACCTTAGTTCACATTATAGTCTAAACATAGAGGTTCTTATTTGTCAAGTGGCATTTTTCTCTTCTCTGTGACTTAAGAGTGTGGATCTGACAATAGTTTAATGATTCTTCTAGTAGCATCTTGTAATTATGTTGGGAAATTGGGTTTAAAATCACTGAGGGACGGGGCCAGAGTGGTAGTACAGTTGGTAGAGTGTTTGTCTTGCAGGCAGCTGACCCTGGTTGGATCCCAGAGCATCTCATATGGTCCCCTGAGTGCCACCAGGAGTAATACCTGAGTGCAAAGCCAGGAGTAACCCCTGAGCACTGTCGGGCATGACCCAAAAAGCCAAAGTAAAATAAAGTAAAATAAAATCACTGAGGGGCCAGAGCGACAGTACAGCAGGTTGGGCCTCTGCCTTGCACACAGCCAACCCAGGTTGGATCCTGGCACCACGTATGGTCAGTCTCCTGAGCACCACCAGGAGTAATTCTTGAGTGCAGAGCCAGGAGTAAGCCCTGAGCACTGCTGGGAATGCTCCCCACCCCTTAATCACCGAAACTTGATTGCTATTGAATATTGTCTCTTCATGTCCCCCAAGGTGGTGCGCAAGAAGCATGTGTTGTCCTGCTTTCGGGACGCCCTCGTGCGACACACGGCCCTTGTTGTGCAGCTGGTGGCACAGGAACAGAGAATTTGTGTGCACCTCATCAGGATGCTTTTCGGTGAGATCAAGCGGAACTTTGATATTGCTTTTATACTGCATGAGTTTTGCATGATTAACCTGATGATCACTGTGTTTTTGCTTTTGAGATCAATGAAGGAGCAGGCTGGGAAAGATGATTTACACTTTTTACAATGTAGTTGTTTAGCTTACCAGCAAATTGGTTTGCTTTCTAAGACTCCTGATGCAGCTATGGAGTAGCTGGGTTTGCTGTAGGTAAGAGGTTCTACAAATCCGAATATGAATCAGAAAATGTGTGATCTCTCAATCCCGTCACTATGGTCTTTGAATAGGATCAGCTCCAGACTGCAGGAGTCTGCCAACTGGGTGTGACTCTGAGTCAGTTTGCCTCTCTTTTGCCTCAGTTTTTTCCTGTTTAGGATAAAATGGAGTTTAAGGTCTCTTCTCTTTCGGTGGGGTTGGTGTTTGGCCATACCCAGTGTGCTCAAGGGCTGTTCCTAGTTTCCTGGTACCTAATAAGGGGACCTAATGTGATGCCAGGGATTCACATCGGGGTTGAGACTGCAGCCAAGGCAAGTGCCTTACCTCTGTACCGTCTTCCCAGTCCAAATGTTCCAGCTCTCGGTTTCCTTCCCGCCTGTCCTCCCGTCCCCCTTTCTTCTCCTCCTTTTGGTCTTTGGGCCACACCAGAAGTGCTTAGGGTTTATTTCTGGCTCTGTGCTTAGGGAGTGATCTCATATATGGTGGTGAGCGGGACCATATATGGAAACAGGAAATTGAAGGCCCATCGGCCACATACAAAAAATGCTTAACCGCTTTATTATCTTTCCAACCCAGTCCCTTCTTTCGTATACTTCTATAGAAAGGGGACACTAACTCATATTGTGTGCTTTTCTCTGCTAAAGGCTTTTCAAGCTTTTAACTGCCAAGAATGTTCTTGAAGGGTAAGAGAACAATCCTCAAGGGTCAGGGAGGTCAACTCCTAACCGGCAGAACTAGAATTTTACCCTGGATCTGTTACAGACTATGGGGAACACAGTTTCTCTGCTGTGCCACCCTGTCTTTATCCTCTTAAAACCATAGTGGGTCATTGAAAGTCAAGGTATTTGGGGCTGAGGATAGAATTTAACTGTGACAGTGCTTAAAGCTGCTATTAGTCTTAGAATTCACAGTGTGCCTTTGGGGCTTTGTTTCTCTTTTAACTACTAACCATCCCCCCTCTCGTGTCCCTTGTTTCCAAGGACTGTTATGCAAGACGGAAGACGGAAATCTCACCAACCTCTGTATCGAGGGTAAGGCAGAACTGTGCACTTGGCCTTTGATACTGGGGCTTTGAGCCTGAACTGAAGCTCTGACTATTTGACTATTAGAGGCCAATGAAATGTGTCATTTTAGACACAGGACTCATTTCGTTGTCAATCATGAATTCTGCATTTTTGTCTTGATCACTTTCGCAGTGTAGGGTGCTGTGACAAATGATACTAGGAGTACATAGATTATAATATAGTACCTGGCTAGAGCGATAGCATAGTGGTAGGGCATTTGCCTTGCACGCTGCCGACCCAGCCGACCCGGCTTCAATTCCTCTGCTCCTCTCGGAGAGCCCGGCAAGCTACCGAGGGTATCTCGCCCGCATGGCAAATCCTGGCAAGCTCCCTGTGACGTATTCGATATGCCAAACACAGTAACAACAAGTCTCACAATGGAGACGTTAATGGGCCTGCTCGAGCAAATCGATGAACAATGGGAGAACAGTTGACAGTGACAGTGGCCTGGCTGCTAGGTTTTCACAGTGAAGAGGAGAGATTGGCTGGTCAGTAGTCAGAGTCAGTGAGCACTGTTGGAAAGACATGTACAAAACTCTATTTTTAACACACATGTAATAAAGTGTCAGCAGATGTGTGCATGTAGGTGGTGGTTATGATGTGAAATGACTTGTTTTACCCATAATGGGATTGAGAAGAACGAAGACAATTGTCGGGGGTGGTGAGATGAGCTTATACAAAGTACAGCGTGACCTAACGGGGGATGGCTAGAATATTGCAATGTGGTTGTAGAGTTTCAGCCCAGCTCTTGAAAGCAAAGTACGGGGGACCCAGTTGGGGCTCTGAGACAAAAGGGTAATAACTAGATTAGTACATTCCTTTGTTTGGTGTCCACACCAACTTCTGCACATATTTCAACTCCCGAAGAACTACAACTTTGGTTTTGCCTGGAATGATGTACTGTCTTTCATACAGTGGAGCTCTTCCCTGTCGCCACTATTATGAGACGAAGAGTTCCAGTAATAATTATATCAATTTCTGGGTATCATGTCTGTGGACTGTGATTCTTGATTTCCAAAACCAGCCACAGCACTTTCTGAATATTTTGTTCCTGAGGAGTGATTTTTGGGGTACGGAGGGTCCCCTTGAGCAGTGCTCAGGGTCCTGAGTGCCACTCTTGGAATTGATGGTTTCTGTTTGTTTCGGACCACACCAGGCTGTGCACAGAGATCACTCCTAGTGGGGCTCGGGGGACCATATGGGGTGCTGGGGATTGAACCTGGCTTGGCTGCACGAAAGGGCAGTGTTTTACCTACTGTACTATCAGGCCTGAGAGAGCCACACTTGGCATCACTCACCAACTTGGCTGGACAGTTGAGAGCTGGGGCCCAAAGATGAGCTAGGAACTTCCGAGGCCAACCCAGTGGTGCTTAAGGCCCCCACGGCTACACCTGGCCCTGCTAAGGGTCCTCTGGAGTTACACCTCACCGTGCTAAGGGGACCAGTTTGAACTCCATTCCTACCAAATTCTTGGATGTGCCTCTGACTACTGAGATAGCTCTCTTGTTCCTAGAGATGAAATTTTAAAGGTGACCTACAAATAATAAGGAAAAGAGAGAAAAGTAGCTAATACTTATAGACAATAGATAGATAGATAGTTAGATAGATACTCTCCTCTTGTTGCATCCTTTCCTTAATCAGTCACGCAAAGGTAGTCATGTTTATAATTTCATTTTCCATTTTCCATTGCCCATTTCATGTATAAGCTTCCTAGGTGCTGCTAATGTCCGGTCTTGTTGAGAACCACTGATTTAAAGCAGCGGAGAAAGCCTGAAGCCCTTTGATTTGGATACTCACACATTGTTTAATGTAGCAGATAGAGAAGACTCCTACCAATTGGCATAGGCAAATCACTACTCTGTACTCGCTTTGAGTCAGACTAAGACAAGTAAATTCTGGGCTGCAGATGTAACTGAGTGGTAGAACTCTTGCATGTATGAGACCCTAGGTTCAGTCTACAATAAGGGAAGAAAAAAGGCTAGGTAGATCCTGGGCTCTGGGTTGTCTTCTGATGCTTAGTAATGCTGCTGTGTCTATGTGCTCAGTCCTTATCCAGCTTACAACTCAGCTGAAACTCGAGCAGACCGTCCATTGCCTGCTGGATGAGTGCCACAGAGAGGTCAGTAAGCGGCTGTGCGTTCTTGAGTACCTGTCAGGATCCTCAGACATTAGCCAGACTTGCTGGATAGATGAGAGACCGAGATTCCGGGAGGAAAAGCGACTTAACCGCACACACTGAGTCATTGGCATAGTTTGCTTTTTGCAGCTTCCTTCCTGCCCCTTTCAGCCCCTCCATTGCTACCGGCACACCCAGTCTTTCGGGTATAACCATTACTTGACTTACTCTCTGTCTTCCTAAACATAATACAGATTTTCCCTGATTAAGTCACTGCCTCTTTTAGTGTCACATTTTTGGTTTGGATTGTATATTTCATTGAATACTGAAGGTACTTGCTTTGATCAGCATCTTAAATAAATGCCAACTTGTTTTGTGTTTTCTTTTCTTTTTTTTTGCTTTTTTTTGGGTCACACCCAGCGATACTCAGGGGTTACTCCTGGCTCTGCACTCAGGAGTTCCTCCTGGCAGTTCTCGGGGAACCATATGGGATGCTGGGAATCGAACCCGGGTCAGCTGCATGTAAGGCACACACCCTCCCCACTGTACTATTGCTCCGGCCCCTTGTGTTTTTTTTTTGTTTGGACTCCACCTGGCCATATTAGGTAATGGGGCTGTTACCTCTAGCTTGGTGTTTGGGGGTCACAGTCAGCAGCATTTGGAGAAACGTTCTGTGTGGGGTTCAAACCTGAACTTCCTGCCAGCTGAGCTTGCATTCTCTCTATCCAAGCCGAGCTTGGAGCTCTCTCCCTGCTCCCATAACTTGCTTTCTTCAGTTTAGTCAAAGGCGTCAATTAAACGAGCAGTTCTCGTTGTTTAAGATGTAGAAATAGGGGCCGGAGCAATAGTACAGTGGGTAGGGCATTTGCCTTGCATGCGGCCCACCCGGGTTCTGTGCTCAGCATCCCTTATGGTCCCCCGAGCACTGCTAGGAGTAATTCCTTAGTGTAGAGCCAGGATTAACCCCTGAGCATCACTGGGTGTGACCCCCCCCCAGAAAAAGATATATAAATCATATCATAATTATGGGGGCCGGAGCTATTGTACAGTGGATGGAGTGTTTGCCTTGCATGATCCTCGGCATCCCACATGTTCACCTGCGTAAACCCCGAGCATTGCCAGGGGTAGCCCCAAAACTTTTTTTTGGGGGGGTCACACCCAGCGATGCTCAGGGGTTACTCCTGGCTCTGCACTCAGGAATTACCCCTGGCGGTGCTCAGGGGATCATATGGGATGCTGGGAATCGAACCCGGGTCAGCTGCGTGCAAGGCAAACACCCTACCGGCTGTGCTATCACTCCAGCCCCCCCAAAACTTAAAAAAAAAAGATTTAGAAATAATATTATAATCATTTATTTTTTCTTCTCTCCCCCTCGCATCCCTTTATTGCTGCTGTTGGGATAATCAGGGTTTTTGGTGCAGGGGGCCTGGTCATGGTGGGAGAGGCGGGCTACTGGAGCTGGTGTGCATCTTCGTGGACATCTGTCTCATCTCGCTGATCAAGCCGGTGTGTGTTTACTTTCCGCAGATGTGTGACGTACCCTCCACACACGGCAGCCTGGCTCTGCTTACCCTTCTTGGCAAGTTGGTAGATGCCATCCCTGCCGTGGCGGACACGCTTGTGACAGAGCACAGTGAGTGACCCCTGGGAATGAGCAGGCTCCCACCTGCTCTGTCACTTTTTCATCTGGCTGGTCCCCTCACTGGTCCCCTCACGGGTCTTTATTTTCCTTCTTTGCTCTTTCAGTTTCCTTGTTGACATGTACTCTGTGTTGACCAATTTGAGAAGAGTTAGTTCTTCGATTATAATCTTTAGCTAGTTCTGCTCTTTGTTTTGGGGGCTGCTTCAGGGCCTATACCTGGTTCTGTGCTCAGGCCTGACCCCTGGCCATGCACAGGAACCGTATGTCATGCTGGGGATTTGAACCTGGGATGGGCTGCATGCCAGGCAAACACCTTATCCCCCATACTATCTCTCCGGCCTTCTGTTCATTGCTTTAACACTGATTAAGTACCTCCCAGACAATATCTTTTTGAATAGAAGGAATTATGTCTGGAATAGAAGCACCTATTTCCCCACCTCCCTTGTTATCAGTAAGATGTAAAATAATTCCTTCTCACAAAGGGTTTATCCAACAGTAAAACACTTAACTTCTCTAAGCCTTAGTTTTCCCTTTCCCTTAAGTGCCCTGAAAGCATTTATTGTGGGGATTATCAGGGATTACTTAACTTCCCTTTGAGGGTCATAGTTTGGGGTTTCATTTACTATTGACGTTGCAATGTTCCTCGGTCCCTTGGCTGTTTTGGACAGGTAATCTGATGGAGCATCTGTTACGAGGTTTAGTCTACCCCAGTGAGGGGGTGCAAGCTTCCGTCTGTTACCTCTACGGGAAACTCTACTCCTCACCAGGGGCAGCTGAGATGCTTTCTGGCCATTTTCGGGAGAAGTTATGTCCCCTCTTCCTTTCTACCCTGGATAGTGCCCAGACAAAGGAGCTCCAGATCAACTGCTTGGGTAAGTCAAGGAGCCGTCGATGAGGGCAGCTTTTTTCTTTGCTTAACTTAGTTCTGGATCCAGCCCACGTGTGAGTCATATACTCAGGCCCCACCCCAAAGCCGAGAACAGCTTTTGAGGCCTGGCTTGAGAAATTGAGATATTGGTTGCTTTGGTGTTGGGGGATGGGGGATGGGGGTAGTTTGCTGCTTTGCGAAGGTTAGAGACTACGAGGCTGGATGGTGAGAAACACAGGCTGTCTGAGAGCTGCCTGGAGTTGCTGTGGGCCCTGACACATCTCCTGTAGAAGGAGAAGAGGAAAGAAAGTGGGAAGAAGCTTTTCTGCCTCCGGCCTTCACTGTCTGGCGTGGTGTGTCCTGTTGGTGCTGCCAAGTCGATCTTCATGCTGCGCCCTACATCCTGTCAGCCTCCTAGGTGACACTGTGGTGTCTCTGGCCCCAGGGGAATGGCCTGGTTCTCTACTTGTTATTTGAAGTGCTTTGGGTCCCCAGAGTATTCAGGCGGCCTCTTCTGTCACTGCTTCCTGTGCACACACAAGAGATCCATCAAGTGCTGCTTCTCAGGGTGCTGTCCTGGTTTTGTTTTTTTGCAGGGGCCTCACTGAGGGATGCTCAGGACTTACTCCTGGCTCTACACTCAGGGATTATTCTTGGCAGGACCACGGGGAGCAGATAGGGTGCCGGGGAATGAACCCTGGTCAGCTAGGCATATATGCAGGGCAAACGCCCTCCCCATTGTGCTCTTTCTCTGGTCCTGGAGTTTGCATGTTTTGGACAGAGCAAGTGTCACTAGACTGGTCACCAGGTGAGGCCTCGTGCGGGGCAGGAGCACCAGGGGGCACGTGGTCTGTGGCACGCTGTTTCTCTTCTCTGCTCCTCCATTCACTCTCTGACGAGCACTCCAGCCGCACCAAGTGAGCAGATCCGTTCTGAGTAGGCCTCTGCTGTGCCTGGGGTCAGCCTGGCGTCAGCCTGGGGTCACACACGACTGTGGCAATCAAGTGTGGCCAGCTGGAACCCAGTGCAATGACTGGGTGGGATTCCCATCAGCACGGTATTAGAAGTCCTCACGAGACACAAGCAAAACCAAGGCATAAAAGGAAAGTAAAATAGGCTATAGATGAGTCCGTCTTACATAGATGAGTTCATTTTTTTTTCCTTTTTTTGGGTCACACCTGGCGATGCTCAGGGGTTACTCCTGGCTCTGCACTCAGGAGTCACTCCTGGCGGTGCTCAGGGGACCATATGGGATGCTGGGAATCGAACCTGGGTCGGCCATGTTGGCTGCGTGCAAGGCAAGCGCCCTACCCGCTGTGCTATCGCTCCAGCCCCCAGATGAGTTCATTTTATAGATAGAAAACTTTACAGAACCCACAAAATGTCAGAACTAATAAATAAATTCAGTATAGGATACAAAGCCCTTTGTGTGTCTATCACAGTGAGCCATTTGGGAAAATGGAGAAAAGCTGGTGGGGGGGCCGGACGGCACGGGGACCAGGAATGCAACGTATGGGACCCTGATTATGGCCCCCACCTGCATGGTTCTCCAGCACGGTGGGGTAGCCCTGGAGGCTCCTGAGCATGACAGTGTTGAAGTGGCCCCCGAGGCCAAGCTGGGTGACCTCCAAGTTCCGGAATGGCCCACGCAGTTCTGCATCCTCGAAGCCAGCATTGAACTACCCAGCCCTGTTGGCTGAGTGGAGTTGCCTCCATGTCCTTTGAGCACTGCTTGGGAGTCACCTCTTCAGATTAATAAAACAATTTCTTATTTACAGTAGCATGAAAAAGATTAAGAGAGAGAGAGAGCGAGAGAGCGAGAGAGAGAGTGAGCAATGGGGAAGGTGCTGGCCTTGCCTGAGATTCTATCCCTGCCCTGCATAAGGTCCCCCAAACGTTGCCAGGAATGGTCCTTGAGCACAGTGCCAGGAATAAACCCTGAGCATTTCCCAGTGTAACCCCCCAAATAAACAAAGCAACAACAAAAACCCATAAACAGGGCTGGAGAGATAGCACAGTGGGTAGGGCGTTTGCCTTGCACACGGCCGACCCGGGTTCGATTCCCAGCATCCCATATGGTCCCCTGAGCAACGCCAGGAGTAACTCCTGAGTGCAGAGCCAGGAGTAACCCCTGTGCATCTCCAGGTGTGACTGAAAAAGCAAAAAAAAAAAAATACCCATAAACAAAACAAAAAGATTAAAGACAGGGATATTTCGAGAGTCAGGAAGAAGTTTCTAGATCATGTCTGGGCTGCCTTAGACTGACTCTGGTGCCTGTGCTTGTCTTGACTCACTTCCAGTGCTCTTGTTTCCAGGTCTGCTGAGGCAGCTGCTGAAGTACGACCTGTTCGTGTCTGTGATCATGAGCAAGTCTGCGCTGGTGGGAAGCGCGGGTGTCGCGGGCCCGCCAGGAGCCAGCTCACTGCCCTTGGTCCTGAAAAAGGTAGCTGTCTCCTTCCTCCTGGTCTCAGTCCACTATCGAGGGAGCCTGGGTTCTCCTGCCTTGTCCCTATGCTCCACGCTGGCTGCGATTTTCTTCCTTCCTGCCTTCCTGCCTCTCCTGCATCTCCTGCCTCTGCATTCAGGATCACTCCTGGATGTGCTAGGGGAAATCTGGGAGACCGGGGCTCGAACCCAGGTTGGCCGTGTGGAAGGTCAGCATGCTCCCCGCTGTACAATCACTCGGACCCTGGCCGTGATTTTCAAGGGGTTTCTGAACTGGCCAGAATAGTGCTCTCTGAGAAGACTCAAAGTTGGTTTCTTTTCAGTTGTACGTTTTTCCAGCACGTCCTTCCCTTCACATCACATGAGAGTGAGGGGTGTCTGCAGCGACAGAAAGACATACTTCAGTTGTTTCGGGGGTAAAATTCAAGTTGGGCTCCTTGAACTGCTTACCTGAACTCTGCTTGTCCTTCTCACCTCCCGCCCTTTGCCAGCCACACACAGCAATCCCTGGCCCGCCAATGCCTGGCTGCCTCCGTCCCGGGAAGCTTTTCCCGTCCTTGGTCAGCTCATCTGTTGTTCCGCCTTCTGAGTCTCTGGGACTCCCTGTCACTTGGGTTCCCTTAGGCAGGTTGTACCCCTTTGCCCGAGTGTTATTACCTGTATTGTATCTAATTACTTGGAGCCTTGTCTTTTGTCTTTTTGCTTGTTTTGTTTTGGGTCACACCTGGTGATGCTCAGGGGCTACTTCTGGCTCTGCACTTAGAAATCACTCCTGGTGGTGCTCTGGGAACCATATGGGAAGCTGGGGATTGAACCTGGGTCGTCTGGGTGCAAGGCAAATGCCTTCCCCGCCATGCTATTTTTTCCAGCTCCTCAGGGGCTCCTCTTCACTCAATACCCAGGGGTTGCTTCAGCAGCTCTCATGAATCCAGCTTCTGCATGCAAAGCACATGTCCCATCCTCTGAGCCACCTCCCTGGATCCATTGGGGGAGGTGGTTCAGGCAGATTCTGAGTGCGGCCAGGGCTTTCCCCAGTGCTCAGCACGGGGCTTGGCAGAGCTGCTTTTTGGTTTTGTTCTGGAGACCACACACCTGGCAGTGCTTGGGACTGTTCCTGTCTCTGTGCTCAGGGGTCACTCCTGGTAGTGCTCTGGGGATCATGTGGTGCTGGGGATCAAATCAGGGTTACCCACATGAAAGCATGTGCTCAGCCTTCTGTTCCGTCTTCCTGGTTTCTGGCAGAGCTGCTGACCTTCATTTGATGGTAGTTGAACAGATTCTGGTGCTTCTGCAGAGAGGAGGAGCCCAGCGCAGAAATGGAGAGGGTTACGTGGTGGACGTTAGCAGCTAGAGCTCCCTGTCACCCTGCTTCCCAAGATGCCTCTCGAATGGCCCGTGCATTTTCTCGAATCCAGGAAATCCCCTTGCAGTTACTCTGTGTTTATTTCTCTGCTGCTGTCCAGAGTTTACAGAGCCCCTGGTCAGAACACAGGCTTGAGCCTGGCAGGGATACAAGAATTGTGCCCTCATAGGGCACCAAGGCACGGGATAGCAGAGAGGAGAGAGCACTTCCCCACTCAAGATTGCTCTGAAACACGGGTGCCTAGTCTGCAGCTCCCAGCTACAGGCATGTGCGGAGACCGCTTTCCGTTGATGACTTTGGATCATTGAGGGCTCCGTTTTATTAAGAGCACCCAGCAAACTTGGGATGAGGGTGAGCTGAGGAGGCATTTGGCACAGGTGCCTAAGGTACACAAGGGCACCCTAAAATGCTTAGCAATCAATGTTGTAATGTCGTGCTTCAAAGAATTTCCAAAAGGTCAGGGAGCTAGTATGACTAGAGGTTCAGGCACTTGCCCTAAATGCAGCAACACTGATTTGGATCCCCGGTACCACCCATGGTCCCCCCAAGCACTGCCAGGAGCGATCCCTGAGCACAGAGCCAGACACACTGCTGGGTGGGACCCAAAAAAAGCATAAAAATTAATGGAGAGGGGCTGGAGCGATAGCACAGCGGGTAGGGCGTTTGCCTTGCACACAGCCAACATGGCCGACACAGGTTCGATTCCCAGCATCCCATATGGTCCCCTGAGCACCGCCAGGAGCAATTCCTGAGTGCATGAGCCAGGAGTAACCGCTGAGCATCGCTGGGTGTGACCCAAAAAGCAAAATAATAATAATAATAATAATAATAATAATAATAAATTAATGGAGAATGCACGATGAGCAAAGTATAAAGATTTAAAAGGGAAGGGCAGCATGGGCTGGAGAGTAGCTCAGAGGCCTAGACAGCATGTTTGCATGCTGCAGCTGGTACGGTCTCCAGATACATAGTGTCCCTTGCATAGTGCCAGGAGAAATCAGGAGCACTGAGTGGGTAGGTGCCAGTAGGAGAGAGAGAGAGAGGAGGGCAGGGAGTAGAGAGAGATTTTTTTTTAATGTAGGAGTATTGCTATTTATTCAGCCATTGATTAGGCTGATTGAATTGGGCGTGAACTCCACCTTACCTTTTTTTTTCCTTTTTTTATAAATTTACTTATTGCATCACCATGAGAGCAGTTAAAGCTTTCAGGTTTAAGTCTTGGTCATACGATGATGAAACACCCATCCCTTACCAGTGCCCATTTTGCACCACCAAAACCCCCAGTATGCCCCCCATCCCACACCCTCCCCCTACCTGTGGGGCAGATGATTTCCACATTATTCAGAGAGAGATTCTTAAACCTCTATTCAGACATTTTTGTAATTGCCCAAATCGAATGCCATTCCTTTCTCCTACTGTCTAAAGATTATCCCCAAATTCAGGTCCCTGGGAATATATTTCAGTGATTGTGTAGTGCGGTTAGCAAGGTCAACCGATCATCTGTTTCATCAGATACCTACTGAGCCGCAATTCCCAGTGTTAGGCATTAATGACGTGTCAGGCACCAGGACTGTCCCGGCGTGTAAGGGGGCCTCGCCTTTGCACAGTAGGGTGGGGAAGGTGGACAAGGAAGTCGGTAATTACAGACTGTGAAAAGTGCTGGGAAGGAAACGGAGAGAAGATGGCATAGGAGAGAGAGCACCTACATCATGTGGTCAGGCCAGACTCCTCTGAAGGGCTGACATTTAGCTGACATTTGAAACATCCAAGTAATTCCCAACCTCCCTGGGAAGCTGGGAATATGGCTCAGGTCAAGGGCCTGCCTTGCATGCGGGAGACTGTGTTCAAGTCTCAGGCTGGGAAAGAAAAGCCACGGCATGCCTCAGTTAAGCCGCAGTGAAGCGGAAATGTTGGGAGAAAGGGAGCTCGTGATGTGGCGAGTGAGCAGGAAAGCGTCTGGCGTGGGAAAGAAGGAGGGAGACGAGAGGATGGGAGCAGTTCCCGTGTTCCCCAAACAGGGAGGCCTGGACTAAGGAGGTTAAGGGGTGAAGGGGGGCTGGAAGTGAAGGGGTGTTTGCCTGAAGTGGCTTGAATGGGACTGGAGATTAAGCCTGAGAACTCAGTTATCAAATCTTAATATTAGGAAATGTTTTTCGATTGGGCTGGAGCTATAGCACAGTGGGTAAGGCGTTTGCCTTGCACACGGCCGACCTGAGTTCGATTCCTCTGCCCCTCTCAGAGAGCCCAGCCAGCTACCGAGAGTATCTCACCCGCACGGCAAAGCCTGGCAATATTTGATATGCCAAACACAGTAACAAATCTCACAGTTGTGAGACGTTACTGGTGCTCGCTTGAGCCAATCAATCAACAACGGGAGGACAGTGCAGTGCTACAGTTTTTGGAGTTTGGACGATACCCAGCAGTGCTAGCGGGGTCTGCTCCTGGCTTTGTGGGTTCAGCTGCATGCAAGACAAATCCCTGTACTACCTTAATTAAGATTTCTGACAGATATGTTGTTGTAATTTTATGACAGAAAGATAGGGTTGGGATGTTTTTCAGTATAATAAGGAACATTCATTTTGAACCAGAACTCTAGTTCATTGTTTTGCTTAATGGATAAATATATTTTTCTAAGACACATTCCCACCCCATTTCACAGAGCTGAAATTGGGAGACATTTTACCATCAATGGTGTGTCATAGTTTAATTATAGCTCTTTTCCTTTTTCAGTACTACATGAAATAATGGTTTGCTTGACATCAGTAGCATCTTAAAATACAGTACTTCATTTCTTTTATAAAAGAAATCAAGATAGTGATTAACTTCTAGAAATCCTTTTGCATTCCAGCAGAAGTTGCTTATGTGTCTGTTTGTAAGTCCAGTGTAACTGAATTGAGTCTAGACATCTTGCAGTCCTCAGCTGCCCTTTACTAGACATGAACTTGACTGTCCTTTTCCTTTGAAGCTAAAATTAAGACGGCTTTTTCCCCCTTTTTTTCTTTTTTGGGGGGAGGCACACTCACCTGTGATCAGGGGGTTACTGCTGGCTCTGCACTTAGGAGTCACTTCTGGTGGTGCAGGGAACTACGTGGGGTACAAAGAATCATATTGGTGGGGCTTGGGGACCACATGGTATGCTCGGGATCAAAGGCAAGTGCCCTCCCCACTGCATTATCTCTCTTGCCCCTCACTGAAATGTTTTGAGTAGAGTAATAGTCTGATCTCGAATTCTAATGGGGGGCATCTCACTTGTAGGAAGTTTCCGAGAGTTGGTCTTGGGTGACCTGTTTCTGCCTAGTTCTTGTCACTTACTAGCTATGGGGCTGTTCATTAGCTGTGGGGTTCATTAACATGAGCTTTTATTCCTCCTGTGTGTGCTGAGGGTCCCCCAAACAACCCTTAGATTCAGTGACTCGTGTCTACCTGTACCCCTAGTGAGGAGTTTTTAACAGTGAAAGGAGAGCGAGTGAAGCAAGCAGGAGAGAAAGGGTTGGGGCAGGCGCCAGCCCACACTTCTGTGAGTGCTTCTGCCCAGGAACTGCGGCCTGCTCCGGATTCCTCACAGGAGCAGTGCTGCCTTTGGGGAAGCTTGGGAAAGACTCAGGGCAGGGTTTGTGCGAGGGCTGGCCAGTCACTGCCAGGCGTCCAGGATAGACACTGCACAGCTTGGGCACAGATGGCCACACTCGCCGTGGGAACCCTCCCCTAATCCAGCTTCTCCAACCCAGTCACAGGCCAGCCTTGCAGGCAGGGCTTTCTAGAACCAGCTGTTCTTTTCTGCGTACTCTGAAGTGGGGCTCACACAGACCCTGTCCTCGAGTCTCAGCCCTGCTGCAGACATCAAGAACATAGGGAAGTCCTGTCAGGAAAGGCTGTCCCCTCCAGATGGCATCTCTTCGGGTGCCTCTGTGGGCTTGGTATTGTTGGGTTTCCCCCCTGCCTGCTCACTCTTCTTTCCTGAGTCCAGAGTGGCCTCGCAGAGCATTGTTGGGAGGGACCGTCTGTGATGGAGTCCAGGAGGATGCAGACATCCCTGAGGCTCTCTGAGGGGGTTGGAGATCCTAGTGGCACTCGGCTCACGTCCTCCCATCAGTCTGACTCTCAGGGACATGGTCTGCTGCCTTTTTCTCCAGCTCCTCCTCTCGAGAGACGAGACGCTGCAGGTGGCCAGCACGCACTGCATCGCCGCGGTGCTCGTCCACTCTCCTGCACAGCACGCCCCGGCCTTCCTCCACGCTGACATCCCGGGTAAGGCCCTGCTTGCCCTCTCCTCTGAGGACCCCAGAGCCCCGCAGCGGGCCTGTTGGGGGCTGCAGGTACCTAGAACCTTCTGTTTGTGATATTTGTCCTTTCTCGGGTCCTGGCGTATGGTGTGGGTGCACACTCCCAGGACCGCATTTGGGTGCTCGCAAGGGCAGGGAAATGAAGGCTCAAAGTAGGGAAGCCACTAGCTGGAGTGGACAAGGCCAGTCATCGGTGGGTCAAGACATAGAGGGTGATTATTTTCTCCCTGTCCTTGTCTTGTTTAAAAGAGGAAACTGGGGGGCTGGAGAGATAGCACAGCGGATAGGGTGTTTACCTTGCACGCAGCCAACATGGCCAACACAGGTTTGATTCCCAGAATCCCATATGGTCCCCCGAGCACCGCCAGGAGCAATTCCTGAGTGCATGAGCCAGGAGTAACCCCTGAGCATCGCCAGGTGTGACCCCCCCAAAACAAAAACAAAAAAAAAAAGAGGAAACTGGGGCCCAAAGAGAGGTAGACATAGAGGACAGATGGAAGCCAGGTGACTGTCAGGGTCCCAGCTTATGGTGCTGCAGAGTCGGGGACCCACCGTCCCGAGAGTGAGGGGGAGGTTCCAGCCCCGTCGTGACAGAGCTCTGCTCTCCCTGCGCCGTGTCTCTCCATTCCGGAGGACACGGCTGTTCTCCAGGCTTGCCTTCCAGCTCACGACCGTGTCTGTCGCGCAGGGATGTGAAGAGATGAAGTGGCAGGCGCGAGGTGCTGGCTCCCGGGAGGCCCCGGGGAAGGGAGCACGAGCCTGTCGCTGTCGCTGACTGCTTTCTCTGCTTCCTTGGCCAGAGTTCCTCTTTGAGCATCTGTCCTCTCCCAGCGACGTGCTTGTCTGGTTCAGCTACAGCTGCTTGATCCTTCTGGCGGAAGAGCCGCTCTTCTTCTCCAAGTGCCACACGGTGTACGGTTGGTAGTGGCCGGCAGCAGACACAGTGGTGGGGACTTGCTGGAGGGGGCTCTGGCCTGTCACTTGGGTTCCCTCAGATTCCGTCTGCAGGCGTGCTGCCTCTCATGGCTGAGGAACCTGCGTTCAGTCAGGCAAGGGCATCCTACAAGGCACTCAGTGAATTCCTCCTGGGCCCGAGGAGGGACTTTATTTTTTAATTATTTAGTTAAAATTTTGTGTGGTTTTGTTTGGGCCACACCCAGCAGTGCTCAGGGCTTACTCCTGGCTCTCTGCTTCGGAATCCCTCCTGGCAGGGCTCAGGGGATCCTGTTTGTGCCAGGAATTGAACTTGGGTTAGCTGCGTGCCTAACCCCTGTGGGGACCCTGTGGCATGCCAGGAATTGAACTCGGCTCAGCAGCGTGCCTACCCCCTATACTATTGCTCTGGCCCTGACAGGGACTTTCTCAAACCATCTCTGCATTTGAGAGCACATTCAGTCATTTGCCTTCTGTTCTGTTCCTAGACGCCAGGCTGGGACCTAGAGACTTAGAGATATGGAGCAGGTGGGCCCTCCGTCTGGAAGCAGATACCCCCACGCTGATAGAAGTACAGGCGTGGAAGGAAGAGGGAGGCTCTTAGCTTTGCCCGAGTGGATTTGGGAAGACTGCCTGGAGGAAGGGAATTCTGATCTGATATCCTGGAAGAATAGCATCTTCTGGAGAAGCTTTAGCTCATCTAGCTCACCCAGTGGCTTTCACCCAGGGCCTTTGCTAAGTGCTCGTGCTGGACTTGGGGTTAACCAAAGCGAGCGAGAGAAGGCACCGTGGTTGACTTGCTCGAGCCCTGCGGGCAAGCCCTCAGGCCGCTGTGAGAGTGAGCACTGGGCTCTGGTCTCTGCCTTAGGGATTGAGTCTGTGGTGCAAAGCCTACAGAGAAGCCTGAGGAGCAACAACCCAGAGCTGCACAAGCAGGGTCTGCTGCTGTTGGCTGAGATCCTGACTCGGTGAGTCTGGCCTGCAGTGGTGTGGCGAGAGAGCAAGGGGGTCAGTGAGCTCTGTGCCCGGAGCTCGCACCCTCACCCTGCGTGTCCCTGCACACTGTCCCCAGGCAGCCCGAGGAGATCAGGCTGTTCGGCAGCGCCGCCCTGTGTGGTGACACCAGCCGAGCCCTCCAGGAGGCAGTGAGCAGCCCAGTGCTGGAGGTGGCGGCCGAGGCCGTGAAGGCCGCGTCAGCCTTTCTGAGGTGAGGGGCCCGCGTGGGCCATCGGAGGGAGGTTCTTCACTCCCACTTGGTTCTCTTTTTCTGGGACCATTCTATTATGGAATAGTCTGGATTGGACATCTAAGTCTGCTTTGTTTTCTGACAGTTTTCCCGGTTTGTCACTCTCCAAAAGGACGGTCTTCAATGGGTGAATTGGGGGGTGGTCTCCCAAACAGTCTTTCTTGAGCCCTTCCTTGGGGATTCTCAGCCAGCTGGGCCAGGGTTTTGGTACCAAGACTTCAAGGTTCCTGGACCGCCCTTCTGGTCTCCAGGACTTGGGGGACCCCCATGGTGCCGGGATCACACTGGGCTTGGCAGCATGCGAGGCAAGTGCCTTCGTCTTATCCTCTCTCTGGCCCCTGGGAGGTTTCCTTGGCTTTGTCTTTTGACCTTTCTCTTGAGTTCTCTCTGCTTTCATGTTTTTAATATGGAAGTGTTCTTTTTAGTTCTTTATGCTTTTTCCCCCAAATAGTACTTTATTTTGTTTTTATTTCATGGATATGATTCTTTTTACCTGTGCCAGGAATTGAACCTAGGGCCTCACAGATACATGGCCAAATCCCAGCCCAGAATTCTTAAAATTTAAGGGAGAATTTTGTAAAAGTAGTCATTTCCTTTCAGTTGCTTTTTGTTTGTTTCTCTTTCAATTTGGAAAGGTTTTTTGGTTGGTTTGTCTTTCAATGCATAATGTTTGGCTAACTTATATTTCAGGGTAGCCCCCAAAAATGTACATGGGGATTCTGCGCACTATGGGCAGTTGGAGGTGATGGGCTGCAGCAAGGAGGCACAGCCTGAGGGTTTGCTGAGGAAAGCCCTGATGCCAGTCCTGTTTGGTCTCAGGCTGTCTGGCTGGCGGAGGACACAGCCCAGTGTCCTGCAGAGGGGGTGCGCCTGGTGCTCCCATTCTGGGACAGAGTAGAGCGCCTGTGTCCCTCCTCCCACTGCATTCAGTACAGAACCTGTCTGAGCGCTGAGGCTCTTCAGTAGACCTTAGAGAACAAACCTCCAGTTTTCTGCCTGTGGGGGTACTGCTTTGCTGTGAAGGTGGAAGAAACTGGTCCAGTTGTTTCTTTTTGGAGATGCCAGATCCTTCTTTTTTCCAGAGGACCGTGCACTGTGGGAGGCCCGCCTGGGGCACCCACATACACTTCAGCCCTTGAGCCATCTTTCCAGCCGCCAGACCATTTTAAATTTATTATTAGTATTACATTTGATTTCTCACAATGGAGACATTACTGGTGCCCGCTTGAGCAAATCGATGAACAACAGGACAACAGTGCTACAGTGCTATTATATTTGATTTGGGGGCCATGCCTGGCAGTGCTCAGGTCTTACTCCTGGCTCTGTGCTCAGGGATCACACCTGGCAAGTGTGTGATCTGGGATACCTGGGATTGAACCTGGGTCAGCCATGTGCGAGGCCTTGCCCACTCACTGTACTATTTTTCTGGGCCCCCAAGTATTGAACTTTCTATCCAGGTGCATTGAATATTGCTGGGGGTGGCCCCCTGGTTCTCTGAGCACTGCTTGGGAGTAGTCCCCAAATAAAACAAAGAAAATGTGGGTCTTTTTCCATAGTTTTAGAAGCTGGGAAACAAATCAATATGACTGGACTGAAATCAAGGTGTCTCCAGGATCGCCCGTCCTGAGGCTCCCGAGGACAATCCTTCCTTGCCTCTTGTGTTCCTTGGCTGACCACGGCGCTCGCCAAGGTCTGAGCTCTCTGTGGTGGTGCTCCTGTGCACGATTCCTGGGATTCACACTCGTGGAGGCGCACAGCTTCTCCTAGCGGTGCCCCCCAGGGGGTGCTGCCTTCCTGCGATACCTGCATGTCCGTGTGGTTACTCCCCTTTTGTGGTACGTCCTCACACCTGTGTCATGGCTGGAAGTCACTTGTGGCACCAGGGATCACTGCAGAGCTGCCAGCCTCTAATGGTGGCATTGCCAATTGTGCTCGGAGCATGTGGGACACTGGATTGTGGGCTGGTGGCCATATGCTTGCAGGCCAGGTGCTCTAAGCCACTGCGCCTTTCCTCCAGGCCGCTAGTGGGTTCCTTTCAAAATACAAGGGAACGGTTCACTGGATGACAGAGATGGACAGAAGGTTGGGATGGAGCGGGGTCATCTCGCACTACCCACCCCCTGAAGGAAGCAACTTTCTTCGGTTTCAGTTCGGATGAGTCATCCCTATATCTCTAAGCAGAATCCTTATAATGCTCTTTTCTTTGTGAACTTAGGGCATACTTTATTGTCTTGCCAGTAAGAAAGACCAGATTTAGCTCCTCTTAGATTCTTTACATATTGTTGGCATTTTTGCTACTTAATATTTTATGTCTTCAAAATACTTAAAACTTGTAATTCCCCCCCCTCAACTTGAAACATTACTTCTTGTCTTCCCCCATGGCTGAGTATATTAGGACCCCAGCTCCTTCTCCCTGCCTTCTGCTTCTTAATGTCAATTTGCTGTACCTTTAATTTTACATTGTAAAGGTTGTTAATATTTATAGTCTTTCTGTAACCAGATTTAAGTCTGTGATTTGACTCTAGGTTAGTTCTAAAAATTGAAACAAAAATAACATTTACATAACAATGACTTCAGTTGCCTCTTTCTCTCCTTTGTCCTTTTGTGGATTTGTATCTCTAAATCTGGGCCATGAAGCCCAGTGAGGCTGATGAGTAACCCAGCAGGTAACAAAGGCACCAAATAAGAACAGTGCTGATCAGCAGCAGAGCTGGCAGCCTCCTGAAGGGCAGAGGTCGGTTTTGGGGGACCAGCATCTTGGCCGGAGGTACTCTGAGGAAGGAGAGGGTTTGGGTTTGGAGCAGGGCCAGGGGTTCCGGGCTGAAAGGGATCCCACGGAGGGCTACCACTGGCCCCCGCAGCTTCCAGGTGGTGACACGTGCTTGAAGAAGCCTGAGAGCTGGTTAGGTAGAGTTGTGGCGAGTAGGGGTTGAAGTGACAGTGCGGCCCGTGAGGCACTTGCTTTGCACACAGTTGACCAGAGTTCCATTTCTCCCGCACCCCATATGTTCCCCCCGAGCACTGCCAGGAGTCAGTCCTAAGAGCTGAGCCAGCAGTAAGCACTGGGCACCGGGCACCGCTGGATGTGGCCCCAAAACAAAAATTGAGGAGAGTAATGGGGAGGGAGGAGTTCTTAATCCACTGTTTTTGTTTGTTTGTTTTTTGTTTTTTAAACTTGTGACTTGAACTACCCAGATTGTTTGCTGAGGTGGTTCCTGAGGGGTGCAGGGCTTCACAGGGTGTCTAGGAAGGAAGGAAGAGTGAGGAGCGAGAACTACTGACTCAGATTTACTGATGATCGAGGCAGGGCTTGATGACCAGTGTAGACAGAAAGTGCGAGCTTCTAGAAATAAGTAAGAGGAAATCAAGTCTCCTCGCTGTCTAATTTGCTTTGCGTGTGTCAGGAGTTCCCAGCAGATTACTGTCATTGCCTGAAAAGATGCTGGGGTGGGTCTGGCGAAGTTTCTCACCCTCGCCGGCCTTGGTTCCTCTTAGCCGCTACACTGGTGTGGACAGCATCTCTCAACAGCTTGTGTCCTCGAAGGGCCTGTGAACGTGACCTTATTCGGAAATAGGGCCTGTGTAAATGCAGTCTCTTTAAGATGAAGTCATAAGCTTGGAATCTAAAGCCAGTGGCTGGCTTCTGTATAAGGACAAGGGTCGGTACAGCGACATGGGCAGACACAGGGGAGGTGTCCATGAGAAGACAGGCAGACACTGGAATAACGCCTCTAGAGCCAAGCCATGACAAGGGTTGACAGCAGACAATGGGAGCGAAGAACTCAAAGCTGACTTCTTCCCTGCAGCCTTTCGAGGGGATCGGTGCTTTTACACATCCAGCCATCCGATCTGTGAGAGACTTTTCTGTCAAGTGAAGTCACCCAGCTAGCAGTGGTTTACTGCAGATCCCCGTGAAGCCAGTCAGACCAATTCACACCTCATCCAGGGCTCCTTCAGTCGCTTAACTCCTGCGTGTGGTGCTAGGGTAGACTCCAGGGCCTCATCGTGCAGGACATGTTCTCTGCGGCTGAGCCACAACCCTGACCCCAACGTCATCTTAATCTAGTTTCAGTTCACCACACAGCTAGCTCTGTTAGGTAAAGGGGAAAGTTGGAACTGGTTCCTGGCTTGTCGGAGGTGCTAATTAGACTAGTCAGTGAATGAAATTTTAGAATATTTGTGTATAAATAGACCCCAGGTGATATTTGTTTGCATTTATCCTGAGTTTATAATGATTGAGTTTTCCTTCTGCTTACAATCTCTAAGAAAGAGGCGCTCGCTTCTTCCGTAACCTCTGGAGCTTTTCCCTGCTCTGAACGTGCGTGTTCGTACTCAGTAGGACTTGGCAGTGCACTTGGGGGGGTTTGCAAGAACTGTTACCTTTAATTACATAGAATAATCTATGGATGTTTCTAGTTCCAGTCTGCCAAATCATACCCATTAGGAAAGATCTACTTTTGCATAATGAAGGAAACCAACATATAGATTTGAGTCTAAGAAATTATTTCTCACAAGAGGTTGGAGTCATGATACACCTGGGTTGGGTCCCCAGCATCTCTTATGGTCCCCACGCACCACCAGCTGTGATCTCTGAGCGCAGAAAGAACCAGGACGAAGCCCCAGACATTGCCAGGTGTGACCCCCTCACCCCCCATTCCTCATAGTGAGATAAAACTTGGATCTTGACAGCATTTGCCTGTTGATCCGTGTTTCCTGAACAGCAATTCTGTTATCTCTTCTCCAAGAGAACTTGTAACTTACTTCAAAACTAGTGGCTTGCTGTACTTGAGCTTTTTTTTTTTTTTTTTGCTTTTGGGATCACACACAGAGATGCGCAGGGGTTACTCCTGGCAGTGCTCGAGGGCCCATATGGGAGGCGAGGATAGAGCCCAGGTTGGCCGCGTGCAAGGCGAACCGCCCTCCCCGCTGTTCTGTTGCTGTGGCCCTTTGAGCTCTTGATAATGCTCGTCCTTTAAAAATCAGGAGGCCCTTGTCAGAAAACCCTCTGTACCCGAGTAACAGTAGTGAGAGTTGTTAACAATAATGGCTCTTAATAAACCTTGTTTAATAGATTAATAAATCGAGGATTAGAGAGGTAAGTAATGTGCACAGGTCATGCAGCGAGCTAAGTGTTGAAGCAAGGATTTGTTTTATTTTGGGCTCACACCCAGCAATGCTTACTCCTGACTCTGTGCTCAGGGACCACTTCTGATGAGCTTGGGGGGCCACATGGGGTACCTGGAATCGAACCCGGGTAGGCCTTGTGCAAGGCACCCTACCGGCTGTACTGTCATGCCAGCCCTGCAAGGATTTTTTAAAAAATCACATTACGTCCCAACTCATGCTGTGAGGCACCCCACTCCGCTGCATGGTGGCATTCCCTTCCCCGTCTAGGTCGGCTGTTCTCTCTCTACACAGGAAGGACCATCAGGGTACTCCACCCGTGCAGTACCGGGAGCTGCAGGCCTTGCTGGAGGCCATGCTGAGCCGGTGTGCAGAGTTTTCCCAGACCCTGCTGAACAGGAAGCCTCTGGTCAGTGCCCCGCTGCCCTTATCTTCTGGGCCTCACACGGAAAAGTGTTTTTAGAAGCTAGTGCATTGCCTTACCTTTATAGACCACTTGAAAACTTTTCTCATGCGTGCATACCTACAGTGAGATGATAATATTTCTAAATGCAGACCTGTGAAGCGGAAGAGCAACTGTCCTCATTCTTACCATCAAGGAAACTGAAGTCATTTCCTAAGGTCCCAAACTAGCATGTGTCTCAGCCTGGAGAGTAAATCCCAGAATGTCTATACCCAAGCCCACCACACTTCATCCCTGATGTCATTCAGGCAGGTTTGGTAAATATGCACGCAAAATTATTTAAGGTGGCTGCATTCACTCAAATCTCAGAATCTGACCAGTGAGCAGTATGATGTCGTTGTTGACTTTCAGTAGTTTGTGGACATACAATAGCAGAAAAGGGTACTACTCGTGTGAAGTGCTGATTGTGTTCACGATTAAATTCCGAAACATTTTTAGCTGATGAGGTAGGGGGTTGTGCTTCAAGGTCATCTCCACGGGCATTACAGCCAGTCAGGCTGTCGGCAGCCCATGGCAGCTGTGCGTGTGCTAGCCCAAGAGCCAGTCCTGTGCTTCGGAGAGAAGATGGCTCCGCTCTCCTGACCAGCACGCTCTAACCCAGCTCTCCCTGGAGGGCTCAGCTGCGTGCCAGACTCCAGTGTGAGAGGAAGCGTGTGGTCCTCCGAGCCCAGTCGGGGCCAGGAAGCTCCTGACCGGTCAGTCCCTCTGTCCTCTCCTCAGAACCGTGCCTCCAGCAGAGATTCTGAGAAGGCCCTGCTCCGAAGGGGAGAGTTCCTGCTGAGCACTCTGGAGGGATTCAGAAATGCCTGCAGGTGAGGGGCCCTGTTGTCCGCGGGAGGCGGGATGGGGGTCCCCAGACAGCAGGAGTTCCAGAAGAGCACGTGACTCCTGATGCTTTGCTGCACTGTGAGAGGCCTTGGGCTGGGACAGGGTGTGAGGAGGCTTGAGGACAGGCAGCTTGAGGTTCGTGATCCTGTGCAGTGAGCTGGTGTCTCCCTAGCTTTGCTCTTCCTCCCAGATCGTCTCGCACACAGGTGTTCAAAGAATGTGTCTCCAGTGACCTCAGGTCATGTCAGAAATTATCTGTTGTACCTACAGAGTGCCAGGCCCAGTGCTGGACAGCGGAGTAGGAAGGTCACTCAGAAAGGCCATCTTCCTGCAGGAAGCCCTGCCTCTTGCAAAGGCAGGGGACAGTTCTGTGTATGGACGTGGGCGTCACTGGGTCGTCCCGAGCTGAGGACTGTGTTCCCGGGTGGGCGGGCAGTGGTGGGAACGGAGAGAGATGCACAGGAGTCGGCAGGGCAGTGTGGTCCATGGGGTCGGGCAGAAGAGTCCCACAGTGTGGGAGAGGAGCTGAGGACCCAAGTGGAGAGGTGCCGGGGACAGCTTATCTCCTCATTGGGGCCCTTCCAAAGAAGCTCTAGGGGCCGGAGCAATAGTACCGCAGGGAGGACATTTGCTTTGCGCACAGCCGACCCGGGGTTCAATCTCTGGCATCCCATATGGTCTCCCAAGCACTGCCAGGAGTAATTCGTGAGTGCAGAGCCAGGAGTAACCCCTGAGCATTGCCGGGTGCGACCCAAAAAGCCAAAAAATAAATAAAATTTCTTTAAAAAAAAGTTTTAATTCTCTTTTATTGGTGCCAGGACTCTGATACTGTTAATAGCAGTGTTTCCATGCTCTTTGACGTCCTGGAGATTCTCCAGTCCTGCTTCTGGGCCTGCTTTCCTAAGATCTGAAACTCAGGCGTCCTCCGAGGGGCCCGCAGGTGACATTTATATAGTATAAGTGATGGCTATCCTCACACTCTCATTTCCAGGTTGGCTGTGGAGTTCCAGAGCGAACCTTCTGCCCAGGAGAATCCATTCACTGCACCCAGTGCCGAGAAGGAAGACACCCTAGACGCCTTCTCCGAGTTTCTTCTGAGTGCCTGTGACTCCCTGTGTATCCCCATGGTGTTGGTGGGTTTGCCGAGCTGTGAACAGCGCTGAGTTTGGGGTGGGGTGGGGGGGGAGAAAGATGGGAGCCAGGCTGAGAGATGCAAGGCAGAGGAGACTCTTAGCTGGACGGCGGGGGATGGGGGTTTTGTTTTGGAGCATACCCAGAGGTGCTCAGGGCCTGCTCTGGCTCATTGCTTAGGGGATGGAGGATTGTGCCGTGCCCGGCCGTGCGCAGCCCTGTACTCAGCCTCCGAGCTGTCTCCTGGCCCTCAGCTGGACTTCTGAAGGGCCCTACAGTGCTCAGGCACCCACTTTTCCTGTGTTTTTAAGCACAGTGTAGCAGCCAGAGATGGCTCAAGAGGCTTGGAGCACACGCTCTGCATGCAGGAAGCCTGGGTTCAATCCCTAGCACCAATATGGTCCCCTCAGCATTGCCACGTGTGACCCAGAAACCAAAACAAAAGGTGAAAACAGAAGGTAGCATTCCATTGGACAGGCTCTCCCTGTCTTTAGGAAAGAGGAAAGCAGGGCTGGGGGGATAGCTCAACAGGCTAGAGCACCGCATGGCCCCTTGAGCCAGGAGTGGTCCCGAGTACTACTAAGTGTGGACCCCACATCAAAATAATAAGCTGTAATATCGATAGATAATGTGAGTGGCAAGTATTCATCATCTAATGAACATCTAATTCTCCCATGACTCAAAAATGTTTTGATAGCCACCCTCCAACTTAATGTTGTCTCAGTGTTGGAAGATATTTCAGAGACCTGGAGTGCATGCTTGGTGAACGGGAACACCAGCTTCCATCCTGACACCCCAGGAGCGACTCCCTAGTACCGAAGTATGGGGTGGAGGGGGTTGGGAGGGAGGGAGAGAGAGAGGGAGAGAGAGAGAGAATGCTCAAGGGTTACTCCTGGCTCTACGCTCAGGAGCCCGTATGGGGTGCCAGGACGGAACCTGGGTTGGCTGCGTGCAAGGCAGGTGCTTTACCTGATGTGCTGTGGCTTTGGCTCCCAGGAAGTGCACATCGGGCCTGCGATTGAGATTGGAACCCGTGTGTCCTGCCTAATGAAAGGGATAAATGTCTGCCTTCCGAGCTGCGCTAGGGAGCATGGTGCGTTTTCAGCCCAGTGAGGCGGCCACTCTGCGGAGAGCAGATGGGGTGCGGCACCCTCTTCAACTCTCTGGAGACGGAGATGGTCGCAGGAGCAGGCAACGCAGACCCCGCTGTGCTGGGCTCCCTCCAACTAGCCATTCTATTAAGTCTCTTACTTGGGGTGACGCTCGAAAACACCCTCTCACCAGTAGGGGGCAGCAGGGGCACCCTCTGGTCTTTGTGAACCTCTGCCTTCCGGCTTCTCAAAAGTGCCATTGCTTTGGGTGCAGCACTGACCCATAGGCAGGTAACAGTGGTTCCCTCAGCTGTCCTGCCTTCCCCTTAGATTTATAATGCAGTCGAGCTAAATACAGGATTATTTATGGGCTGGAGCGACAGCACAGGGGTAGGGCGTTTGCCTTGCGCGCAGCCGGCCCGGCCGAGCCCGGTTCGATTCCTCCAGTTCTTTCGCCCCTCTCAGAGAGCCCGGCAAACTACCGAGAGTATCTCGCCCGCATGGCAGAGCCTGGCAAGCTACCCGTGACGTATTCAGTTTGCCAAACACAGTAACAACAAGTCTCACGATAGAGACGTTACTGGGCCCGCTCGAGCAAATCGATGAACAACGGGAGGACCACCATTATATTTAAAATGTAATTTATGTATTATGAGGGCTGGAGCGATAGCACAGCGGTAGGACGTTTGCCTTGTGCGCAGCCAGCCTGGCCGAGCCGGGTTTAATTCCTCCTCCCCTCTCGGAGAGCCCAGCAAGCTACCAAGAGTATCTCGCCTGCACAGCAGAGCCTGGCAAGCTCCCCGTGATGTATTTGATATGCCAAACACAGTAACAACAAGTCTCAAAATGGAGATGTTACTGGGCCCGCTCGAGCAGATCGATGAACAACGGGAGGACTATGTATTATGAAACCAAATCTAGGACCGTTGTATTACTGCTTTTTAAAAATGCTTAGGATTAAGTTTCTGTTATTTACAGTATTGTTAACTATGGTTTCTCCTGCACATAATTCCAAAACCATCCCCTTACCAGTTTTTTTTTTAACTGAAGTAAAAGAGTTTCAGTCAGAGAGGACGAAGGCACTAATTTTAAGGAGAAAATGGGATGACAGAGGGATGTTGGGCAGGGAGAGAGGGAAGGAAGGAGGGAGACAGAGAGGCGAGCACTGTGCTTTCTGGAATTTTGTATCTTGCACATTTTCTTTAATGATAATATTTACATTTTCAAATTTAGAGACAAAAGAGCCTAGGCCACAAATGCTTACTGGCAGAGAATGGAGATGCTGAGGGAGAGGAACTGGCCCGCCAGCACATGACTCTGGGCAGAGCTTGAACTAAAACCCCAGTTTCTTTGCTCTCAGCCCAGACCTCTGCCTGCTCCTTCAGGCTTCCTTAAAGCCGAAAGGTCACACGATAAATATGACAGGGTGAGAAACGTGAAAGCAGCTCGAGAGCTATATTATTTATTAATGCTGTGACCATAGAGACAGGAGCATGGATGCTAGTTATTATCATTGTGGGCCGCAGGGGGTGCCAAGGTTCAAATCCAGCATCTTAGAATGCAAGTCAGGAGCTTTACACTCAGCTACAACCCTGATCCTAGTTTTCATTATTATTATTTTAAAAAAAATTATTTGCTCGATTTGCTCGAGCGGGCCCAATAACGTCTCCATTGGAGACTTTGTTGTTACTGTGTCTGGCATATCGAATACGTCACGGGGAGCTTGCCAGGCTCTGCCGTGCGGGCGAGATCCTCTCGGTAGCTTGCCGGGCTCTCCGAGAGGGGCGGAGGAATCGAACTCGGGTCGGCCATGTTGGCCGTGTGCAAGGCAAACGCCCTACCCAAAAAAAATTATTGGGGCTGGAGCGATAACACAGTGGGTAGGGCGTTTGCCTTGCACGCAGTCAACATGGCCGACCCAGGTTCGATTCCCAGCATCCCATATGGTCCCCCGAGCACCGCCAAGAGTAATTCCTGAGTGCATGAGCCAGGAGTAACCCCTGAGCACCGCCGGGTGTGACCCAAAAAGCAAAAAAAAAAATTATTGACACTGTAGTTTACAGTTATTCATAATCATTGGGTGTGTGTGTATGTATATCCCCGGCATCCCATATGGTCTCTTTGAGTCCACCAGGAGTGATTCCTGAGCACCGAGCCAGGAGACAGCCCTGAGCACCACTGGGTGTGACCCAAATAAAAAAGAAAAATCAAATCATGAGCATCTCCGAAGGGGAAAAACTGGGGCTCGTTCCTCATAAAGCAGGAAAGGAATTTCAGGCTGTTCTTTACTTGTTACAGATGGGGCTGGATTGCCGAGATAGCTCCAAGGGATGCACGGGGTCCAGGTTCTATGTGGCCCTCCAAGTGCCACCAAGGTTGTGACATAGTGCGGGGTCCCCAGGATCAGACCTCGGCTGCCCCAGGAAGGTCTGTCCTGCAGCCTGTTCGCTCCTCTCAGGTCTGCCGTTCCGGTTTGGCTGGTGCCTTTTCTTTTTCAGTTCTGGTGTGTTGGATTCTTTGCAGAGATACTCGGAGAAGATGACCCACCCAGGCGTGATGGAAGTTTTCCTGTCGGTTCTACACAGCCTCTTTATCATCGTTCCTCACATGAAGGAGAAGTTCTCCAAAAAGCTCGGTAGGCAGCGTGCAGACGTCGAGTCAGGAGGGAGGCGGGCGTCTCTGACAGCTGTTCCGAGTGTTTACTGAGTGCATAGCCATGTATGGGAAGTTCCCCAGTTTGTTCAGAATCAGCAGCCGTGCTCGACCCAGGGCTCAGTGCAAAGAAAAAACATCAGCCAGCAATCCAAAGTCCGGAGAGGCACTTCTCAGAATTCCTGCTGCTTCTCTGAATCCATCCAGTTCGGATGCATAGTACACCTGTCTCTATTGTTCCCATAATCTCTGTCCCCCCCCCCCCCCGCCCCCCAGCATGGCAGAGCCTCTCATGTGCTAGGCACGTGCTCTTCAGCCATATCTCTGGCCCAGAGAAGAGATTTGGATGCTTTACATGTATGAAGTCATTGAGGCCTTGGCAAACCCTTGGGGGGGGGGGGCGCGGGCGGTGCTGTGAAGCGTTTGTTCCCATTCTGCTGATGGAAACGGGAGACACTGAATCCCTCCCCACAGTCATCACCAACGTCACCAACGTCCTATGCTAAGGATCCGGCTCAGGGAAATTGCATCATAGGTCACGGTCCTCCCATTGTTCATCGATTTGCTCGAACGGGCCCAGTAACGTCTCCATTGGAGACTTTGTTGTTACTGTGTCTGGCATATAGAATACGTCACGGGTGGCTTGCCAGGCTCTGCCGTGTGGGCGAGATACTCTCGGTAGCTTGCCGGGCTCTCCGAGAGGGGCGGAGGAATCGAACTCGGGTCAGCCATGTTGGCTGCTTATAAGGCAAACGCCCTACAGCTGTGCTATCGCTCCAGCCCATAGGATTGCTTCTTAATCTCTTTGCTCTGCTCACCGTTGTTGTCCAGTACTGTCTTAGATTCCTGTCACATCTATTCCTGGAGAGACACCAGGGCTCAGTCATGCAGAGCCTTGCTGCCAGGTGAAGAATGTGGGCTTTGTCGTGCCTTAAAGAAGGGGCAGGATATGCTCAGATTCTGAGACAGATCCTGCTTGGATTAGTATGGACCAGGAATCAGATGTGGCCACGTCTCGTGATGCTCAGGGTCTGTTCCCCGCTCAGGGGCTTCTAACAGGCAAGCTGAAGGCATGTCATGGGTTAAAGCTACAGTCCCAGAAAGTGGCCCTGAAACTCAGAAATTCTTTCCTTGCTGAATATGTGCTTTAGCCCCAGGAATGAGTCTAAAACTGGCTCGTTTCCTACCAGACTGGGAGAAGGGCTAGAATGAGCAGATGTGTCTTTCCCAGGTGGTTGCCAGTTGCACCAGATTGTAGTGGAGGGTAACTCAGGGAGGAATGGGATGAACAGTTCCTCAGCATCTCCTCTGGGCCCAGCATTTGCTAGATGTTCTGTTTACATTGATCTCAATTACACAACGAACGACCTGTGAGGTGTAGAGATCCAAAGTGAGTCTCAAGGATGGTAAAAGAAAGTTTCCCATCTCCCTGCTACAGGCATGGGGCAAAACTTGAACCTTGGTCTGTCATATTTTTGGTACCACTCAGCTTGGGGAGCTTGGTAACATGTCCAGTTGAAACCACTCTGGTTTTCTTCCCACTTCTCCCAAGCCGCCTCGTCCTTCATCCGACTGACCCTGGAGCTGAAGGCCAGGTTCTGCAGTGACCAGAGGTATGCTCCCAAGAAAAAAGGCCAGGGTTCGGCTTCCCCTGGAAATTTTTGGATGAGCGGAACTGACGGACTGGTGTATTTTAGTCCTGGGACCCTGGAGACACATGTCAGATCGCTCAGCAACTGGTGGCCTGCATCAGCCACATTTCTGTGGGTTATATTTGATGTGGTGCTGGCACAGCGTCATTCCTGTGAGGCTTGGAAGGACACCTGTCGCCTCAAAAATGTCATGGTGCTTGGAGATCGTTTTCCCCCCTCACCCCATTTACAGATGGGGGTTGGCAAAGGCCCTCAGAGCCCTCAGAGGCTAGGAGCTGCAGTCTCCGTCAAGAGGCCATGCTCTGACGCAGCCGGCCAGCTGGGCAATCCTAGGGGGGTTTATGCAGAGATGCAGAGTAGAGATTGCTACGTCAGGGCAGAGACATATTGCAAGCGTTGACTCACATTGTTGACGCTGTTCAGTTCCCATTACTGTTTCTGGCCCCTTGAGCACTGTCAGGCGTGACCTCTGAGCATGGAGCCAGGAGTATACCCCTGGGTACCACAGGTGTGTCCCATCCTGCCACCCCACCCCAAGAGCAAAAGAACTTGCTATCCTAGTCTCCATCTAGGTTTGTAGGCCAATGTCTGTGCCTTCCCATGTATTTCTACCTCCTCTGCGTTTCTGAGCCAGAGGCCCCCTACCCCCACCCCACCCCCTCATCCCCTGTTACCCCGCAGCTGAGGGGGAGGGCAGTGTGGTGCCTGGCTCTCCTTCAGGCCCTCCGGCCTGCTGGGGCACCCAGAGTTCAGGAGCCAATGGAGGGTCGTCAGGATTCTGGGTGTTTGTGGGACACCTTGGCGCTGGCTGGGGCAGTAGCTTCCTCTGTTTCTAGAACTCTCGCCCTTTCCTAAGGCAGGAGCACTTTTTATGTTTTGTTAAATTGATTAATTTTTGTCTGTAAAATTTTTTAGCAAATTCCTTTATGGCCACAGCTCCAGGCAGCAGATCCCACACTGACTCCACGGTCAGCTCTGGACCTCCTCTGCTGATACCAGAATTAGAATTTCATTGCACTCAGGCACAAGACAGTGGGGCTGGCTTGTCCTGGGCATCAGCGTCTGCTTGCTCCTTTTTTTGTTGTTGCAATGACCAGGAATCACACACTTGGTTTTGGTGCTGGCACACTTTCGGTAGTGTCGGCACATGCCCGGGTCACACCTTTGGTTGTGGTGCCCAGGAGACCACACACTTTGGTGGCGTCACTGGAGCGCACTTGATCAGTGGGATGGTACCACCTCATCCCTGCAAGGTGGATGCTGCCGCTGAGCTCTTCCTGGGGGGCCCCCCAGTGTCCTGTCTTGTGTTCTCTCTGCTTCTCCCTTGAAGTCACTCAGCCCTCAGCCAGGCGTGTTGCAAGTTCCTGTACTGCATGTGCCTCAACCTGCTGTCGGCCCCCGAGCAGACTGGGCCTTCTTCCCCAGAAGGTGAGGCGGGCGCCTCCCCGAGCTGCTGCCGCTGCCGAGGTGGCCTGTGCTCTGGCGGAGGCGGGCAGTGAGTCGGGGTTGGGTCCTGGGAGGGGATGCTCCCTTCCCTTCGCCCTGCAGGTCCCTTCCGTCCCACTCGCTGGGTCTGCGGTTCTCTCTGCGCCTTCTGCTGTCCCTCCAGAACTCTCTGCGGTTGCGGAGCTCCTGCAGCACGGGCTGCCACAGCTGAGAAGCAGGGCTCCCGAGATCCTGGCCCACCTGCCAGACGACCGCCACCACAGCCAGTACTGCCTCCTGCTGCTCTTCTACCTGGCCTTCCTCCACAAGGACAGGTCAGTGCTCAAGGCAGGGGCCGCTGGTCTGGTTCCAGTCGGTAGTCACAGGCATCCTCCCCACCTCTGGTGCTGGACACTGGGGACACAGGGGCCCTGGGGACTGACTTCTATTCCTGAGAGATATCCAGGCTCACATCTGGAGTGTGGGCTGCCGTCCAGACAAAGGATGAGACTGAGGCCTACACTGCTGAGAAGAATCTCTTGGCATCCTTGAGGGTGTTGCCTGTATTCATAAAAAAAAAAAAAAAAATGCGAACAGTTTCCGCTGTTCTAAGAATCACCTCTCATGGGCTGGCGAGATGTACAGGGGTTAAGGTGCTTGCCTTGCATGCGGCCGCCTCTCATCCAGTCCCCAGCACTGCAGATGGTCCCACTGCCGAGCCCTGCCAGGAGCGAGCCCTGAGCACCCAAGTATGGCCCCAAACCTCAAAATAATAGACTTGCCTTTCAGTGTATTAAAAACTTGATTTCAATGGAATGTTCTTTCTTAAGCTTTGAACTTTTATATTAAGGTAAAAATTCACATTAGATACAATTAACCATTTAAACTTTTTAAATTTTTTTTTAAACTTTTTAAATTTTAAATTGAATTTCCTTAGTCTTCTTACACACCCCCCCCCGCCGCGTCCCTTCCTTGTTGCACCCCTCTGTGGTACCCGCTGGGCAGGGGTGCCCACCAGGTCTCGCATCCTGGGCAGCAGCGCCCACTGTGGCTGTGGGCCTTACACTCGTGCCTGCTGTAGCTTGCGCTCACAGTTGGGGCAAACAGCCTCCGGGTATCCAGGGGTTGGCAGATGCTCACGTGTGCTTCCAGCTGTGGCAAATCTTTAGTTCTGGTACTCACGACCCCTGCTGATTCCACCCATCCGCTGTGGTGCAGCTGGAAATCACTTACACCACCAGGGGTCCCAGAGGGCAGAGCTGCCAGGCTCACACGCAGAGCTCTGGGGCCAGAACCATCGGACAGCCTTGCATGTGACAGATCCAGGTTCGAACCCCGGCACCCCACGTAGCCCCCCAAGCCTTACCAGGAATGATCCCTGAGTTAGGAGCCAGGAGGAAGTGTGACCCAAAGCAAACGAACAAAACTCAACAAACTATCAGAGCTCTTGGGATCGCGCTTGGTGCGGGGACACCGTGGAGATTTCCCCCCGGAGATACACATCCACTGAGCTGCGCCCCTGGTTCAAATGACCATCTTACAGGCAGGACTTAACTGCTATCCACGGTGTTATACAATCCCCACCTCTAGGCCACAGGCTTCGGAAACATTCACCGCGTTCCCGAGTCAGCCCTTTGCCCGTTAGGCTGCGCTGCCTTGCTCCTGCCATTGCTCTCTGGGGAGCGGCAGCCACTTCTGTCTCTGGACGGAGCTACGCCAAACAGTTCCTGTGCGTGGAATCGCAGTATGTTACCTTCTGTGTCTGGTTTCACTTCAGATGTTTTTGAAGTTCATCCAGTTAGTATTGTACTGATGGGATGTATCCTTTTTTAAAAAAAGCAGTTCCAGGAATCGAACCCAGAAAACACATGCAAGGCAGCTGCTCTGCCCCTGAGCTGCACTGCCACATTCCGGATTTTCTGTGCATGGGGAGTTGGACTATACCCGGCAGCACTCGGGGGCTATTCCTGACTGCCCAAGCTGTGGGCAGTCAAGTGAGGAACCGAACCAGGGTCAGCCACATGCAAGACAAGCACCTTCTCTCCTTTATTACCTCTCTGGTCCCCCGTTCATTACTCTTATGCCTGGATAGTATATCATTACATGTATATGCCGTAATTTGTTCAACCATTTGTGAACATCTGGGCTATTTTCACCTTAATGGCGATGCTGTGTACTTGTATTTATTTGAGGTTTTGTTTTCTGTTCTTTTCTGGCATGTGCCAGAAATAGAATCAAAGACTCATATGGTAAGTCTGTTTTTAAAAGCTCTCTTTTCCTTATTATGTGTGTGTGCGCGTGTGTGGTTCTGGGGATCAAATCCAGGGGCTGACGCATGCAAAGCAAGTGTTTGACTGCTTTGTTCGAGCTGCATCCCTGGCCTGCTTTTGAACTTTTTGAGAAAATTCTAAACTGTTTTCCAAAACGACTGCACCATTTTATTATCACAGCAACATGGGAGGGTTGTGGTTTGCTTTCTTGCCAATACTTTTATCATCCCTATTTTGGTCTATATTTGGTGGGACTGGGTAGGGTGCAAAAGGGTAGGCTACTCCCACCTCAGTGCTCTGAGGTCATTCCTGTTAGTGGTTAGGGCCCAAGTACTGTCACTCCTCCCAGCTTCATTCTTTTGCATGTGCATACCCGATTTCTCAAATCATTTATTTAAAAGAATTTTTTTCCTAGTGAGTGGTCTTACACCTCTGTTGACAGTCATTTTACCATACATGGAAGGGTATGTTACTATTAACCAAACTTTGTTCAGATTTCTAATTTTTCCTATATTTCTCTTCTGTCTCTCTTCTATTTTGAGGTGTTGTTTATGATCTACAGTGCTTAGCATTACCCACGACGACCACGACCATCCTGTTGTTCGTCGATTGCCTCAAGCAGGCCCCAGTAACGTCTCCTTCCTAGCCCTGAGATTTTTAAAAAGTACCATATTCAAGGCTGTTTCAGGCTTAGGAGAATGAGACCCATCCTTGTTACTGATATTTGGCATATTGGGTACGCCACTGGGAGTTTGCCAGACTCTGCCATGTGGGCAGATTACATTCGGTAGCCTTCCGGTTTGTCCAAAAAATAATGAATACATTTAAAAAAAAGTGAGTTCATGTCAATAAGCAAGTCAGCAAAGCAAGCAAGCAAGCAAGCAAGCTGGCTAGCCAGCCAACAAGCAAGCAACAAACAAGCAAGCGAGCGACAGAGTCCACCCTGACCACCGAAGGAACAAAATAGAGAAGCAGGGCCTGGATAGGGGCGGTGGAGAATGAGACTCATTCTCCAGCATTACCCATTTTAATTTTATTTTAGTTAATTATTGCTGGGATTGAATCCCGGACCTCAACAAGAGCTCCTCTGCTAAGCTACATTCCTGCTCTATATGACCCTTTTTAATTATTTTTAAAATACTTGTTTTGTTATGTATTGTATTTTTAAAATACTTATTATATATTGTATTTTTTAAAAAATATTTTATTGAATCAGTGAGATAGACAGTTACAAGGTTGTTTATGATTGGGTTTTAGTTATATAATGTTCTAACACCTTTGTCAATTTCCACAATGAAATTGACCACATCATATTCAATGGATAGTTTTGCCTGACTGATGTTGCTGTAATCCCAAAATTCCAAATGGGATCAGACCACCGTCTCCGTCGTGCAAAATTCCACTTCACAGAGCGAGGAGAAAGGAATGCAAAGTTTAAGAAGAGAACTCCCAGAACAACCACCACCTGGGAGCTCTTTCGCTCTGTTGCGGCAACATGGGAAGATGCCGTCATTGGCAACATCGACAAGGAATACGATCGACTAGTTCAGCACCTCCATGATTGTGTGAGGAACGCCAAGAGAGAGATAACCACAAAAAAACTCCTGTCTTCGAACACTTTTGAGCTTATTTGCCAATGTGGCTTGGCGCATGCCTCAGGCAACCGCAAGCGAACGTCCGAGCTCACAAAACAGTGCAGAGAAGTGATCAAGGAAGACCTCAAAGACAGAAGAGCAGCAGTGCTGGTAGATGCGGCAAAAGCCAGGAAAAGCATTTGTAACGCCCGCCTGTCCTTCACCAACTGCAAGACCGAGATGACTGCCCTCCGACGTCTTGATGGATCTATCACATCTTCCAGAAGGGCAATGGAGAAGATTATTCATGACTTCTACTCAGATCTCTTTAATAGCCAGTTCCCCACATACCAAATTCCGCAGGATGGATTATTTTGTTCCCAACGTTCTCCCTTCTGAAATCCGACACGCCATCTCGTAGGTAAAGAAACAAAGAGCACCTGGCCCAGACAAGGTCAGACCTGAACACCTGAAGAACCTACCGTCAGTACTCATCAATACACTGGCTCGGCTCTTCACACTCTACCTGTCTGAATGCAAGGTTCCATCCCAGTAGAAAACCAGCAGGACTGTACTACTATACAAGAAAGGAGACATCCATGACATTGGCAACTATTGCCCAATCTGCCTATTGTCTGTCATCTACAAGCTGTTCACTCGAGTCATCCTGAATAGGACTGGCAGAACACTAGATGAAGGACAACCATGCGAGCAAGCCGAGTTCCGCAAAGGATTCAGCACCATCGACCGTATCCACACGATAACCAAGCTCATTGAGGTTTCTCGGGAGTTCAAGATGCCGCTCTGTCTAACGTTCATTGATTTAAAGAAGGTCTTTGATTCTGTTGAGACAGAAGCAGTCATCGAAGCCCTAGCCAATCAGGGCATTCAAACTCAATACATCAGGATCCTCCATGAGCTGTATTATGGATTCACTACCAGGATCTCACCATTCTACAAAGAAGTGATCATCCATGTCAAGAGAGGGGTTTGGCAGGGTGATACTATTTCACCGAAACACTGCAGTGCCACCTTCGAGAACGTCATGCGACGACTGGAATGGGAAGGAATGGGAGTGAAGGTAGATGGTCGGCAACTTCACCACCTCCGCTTTGCTGATGACATCGTTCTAATAACACCAAACATCAGCCAAGCGGCACAAATGCTGGCCGACTTCGACTGTGAGTGTGGAAAGGTCGGATTACAGTTGAATCTCACAAAGACAATGTTCATGAGAAACAGTCTTGTTCCTGACATTCCATTTACTCTCAACAGAACAGCCATCTCCGAATGCAACAGCTACGTATATCTAGGTCGAGAAGTCAACATGACAAATGACCTGGCACCCGAGCTGCGCAGGAGGAAGAGAGCGGCTTGGAACGCCTTCAAGAGCATCAAAGAAATAACTAAGAGGATGAAGAACCTCTAGCTCCAAGCACATCTCTTCGATTCCACTGTTCTTCCTGCATTAAAATACGCCTCAGAGACCTGGGCCTATGAAAACAGGATGAGAATGCTATTCGGGTTTCTCAAAGAGGCATCGAAAGAGCTATGCTTGGAGTATCACGCTTCACTCAAATGAGAAAAAGAATCTGGAGTTCCGATCTCCGTCAACGGTCAAGAATCAGGGACGCTGTCTTGTTTGCCAAGGCATCGAAAATCAGATGGGCTGGACACGTAATGAGATTTAGAGACGACCGCTGGACTAGAGCCATTACCGACTGGATTCCACGGGACGTCAAAAGATCGCGTGGACGCCCACCTACGAGATGATCAGACTTCTTCGTCAAGACCCTGAATGATTGGTTTGAGGCTCTTCATGTTCCTATAATGAGCAGATGCCATTGGGCTACGCTAGCACGCAACAGGGATGAACGGAGACGTTACTGGCGCTCGCCTGAGCAAATCAATGAGTAACGGAATATCAAGTGATCAACACCTATGTCTAATTTTTCTTAGGTACTCCATGTGATATATATTCATGGTAGAAAATTCAAAGGGTCTAAAGAGGTGTTACAGTGAAAAGTCAGTCTCCTTGCTGCCATTCTTCCTTGCATAGGCCTCTCCCTTAGAAAGTAGCCCCTTGGATACACTTTCATGATAGCAGGAGATGCGGCCTCCTGAGCCCCAGAAGCAGCATCCTTCTCACTCACAGTGCTGGTTCACTCCGAGGGGTGAGTCAGGAGTCCCTGGTTCATAATGGCCGTGCACCAGGCATAGGACTATCTTCTGTGCACATGTGACGGTCCTGAGAAGAAACAGCATGTATTTTGTGCAAAGTGTTGTCACACCATGGAAATGCTGGGACAGAAAAGCGGTGGCTGAGGGTGGATGTAGGAAGGCAAGCGGTTATCTCTGCCCTTTTTCCTCAGACTCTCCCGTTCAACAGGTTTGTTTCGGAAGCAGAGCTGTTTGTGGCCGTGCAAAGCTTCCTCCTGTCTCTGCAGGACCAGGGTGAGCACCCTCCGCCCATGGTCTTAAGGGCCTCCATCTATCTGCTTGCAGTCTGCCAGGACAAAGATGATTCTCTGGATGAGGTATGGGTCTCCATGATGGGCTCTTCCTTTCCTCCTGCAGTTCCAGGTGTGGTCTCCATGCCGGGCTCTCCCCTTCTTCTTGCGGTTCCAGGTGTGGGTCTCCCTCCGGGTTCTTCCCTTCCTTCATGGCGTTCCAGGTGTGGGTCTTGGCATCTGGGGCCCTCCTTTTCCTCCTACGTGCATTTTGAGGTTCCCTGAGAGACCTGATGATATGTATCGAGTCTAGGGAGGTGCTGGAAAAGTGGGATGGGCCGGGACACATACATGTATTATTTCCAACCTATTGACCCCTCTGTGCCAGGCCATCTGCACTGATCTGTTCACTTTAGCTGTCCTCCGGCAGCTCAAGGCCAGAGAGATGGACCTGTGAACTGACCATCACAGCCCACTGTGGTCAGTATCGTGTACACTGGGCTTCTCCTCGGCACTGTGGACATTTTGCACATTGTAAATTGTGTCTCTGGGCGTGCGTGCGTGCGTGCGTGTGGGGGGTGGGGGGGAGAGCGCGCCCTGTGCATTGTTCTCTCCCACTGGATGCCAATAGCACATCTCCCCCTCCCCTCCCCCAGTCAGGACAATCAAAAATATCTCTAGGCATTTCCAAATGTGCTTCAGGGAACATTTCCCTGGGGAGCAGAATCACCCCGATTGGGAATCCTATAACAAAGTAAGCATAGTGGGGTTTTCTTCTTGCGAGAGGACCCTGTGACGCAGCAGTGAAGTTGTCAGTATACTGCCCCACGCATGCCCTGGCAGTTTGTTGGGGTCCCTCGGCTCCTCTCTGGGATGTAGTTCGAGCCTTCCTTTTTTTGCTTCCAGGCCGTGGTCAGTGCCATCAGAAAATTCCTAGAGGCCATCCCAGACCTGCACCTGGTCTATACGCATGACCCATTCGTACTCAGGTTCTTTCTGCTGTACCCACCGCTGATGAGTAGGTTCGGACACCGTATCCTGGAACTGTGGTTCTCCTGGGAAAAGTATGACTCTGAGGAACCGGATGAGACCGTGTCTCCTGGGAAGCCCGCCCTTCCTGGCAGCCTCAGCACCCTCTTCTGCCTGCTCAGGAGCAGCCCCAGCGTCCTGCTCATTTTGATAGTAGGTGCCAGTCGCTTGTTTCTGCATTCGGATACAGCCGGGCCCTCTGTGAGAGCTGGTCACTAAGGGCAGGGCCACGTGGACCTGGACTCAGCTGTTTGCTGTCTGTGGGAGCTCTCCGGCGGCCAGGCGCCTGATGGCAGAGCTGGGTCCCTGCCTCCCTGCAGCTGAAATGCCCTGTGAGCCACCGTCCCCTCTCACCTGGCCGCCTCGCAGCAGAGTCCACTGAAAAGAATTTAATGTCCAAGAAAGTTTAATGTCCCTTGTGGGACCAGAGAGATGATAGTTGAGGTCTGTGGCTTACCTGTTTGATCCCCAGCACCTCATGGTCCCCTAAACATCACTGGGTAGAGCCATGGAGGCCCATGAGCACTGCCTGGTGTGAGCCCAGCGGCCGCCAAACACCCCAGGGCCTGAGCAGCTCTTCATCTTCGAGCCCTTGCAGTGAACTATCCATCTGCTTGGCTGAGAAGTGAAGGGAGGGGCCCCTGGGAATTTGAGTACTCCTCCCCGGAATACATATACTCAGACAAGACAGCTGGAAGAAGGCCTGTGCGTGAGGGTGGAGATGTCTGGTTACACCGGGATTCGAGGCCGCCTTCCTGCCGTGACTCGCAGGCTAGCACTACGTGTACAACTCACACCCTCAGAGACACTGGGGATTGTCTGGAGACCTGGGCTCTGATTGGGAAGTCAGACACTCCTTCAGGTAACTCCTCACGCACACTGGTTAGGTCAGTAAGCTGCCTGTTGCGTGCAGCTGATAAAACACTGCCTGAAACTCAGTTTTTCTTCCACTCAAGAAACTGTATTAGAAAACAAATCTATTGGAGTGAGATGATTCCAGAAGCAGCTGCTGTAATTTGTACATATATATGGGTCATATTCTTATACACAAGCGTCACACCTGCTGGTGCTTGGGACCCCAGAGCTGCATTAGTTCTCAGGGGTTTCTCGGGCCACGCAAGGTGGAGCTCGGGGCCATGCGGAATTGGGCCTCGTGACCCCACCGGAGCTCGTTGTTGTCTCCCAGTCCGCCCCGACATCTCTGGGCAGCGCATGTGGGAGAGGCCGCAGGGGGCCTTGTTCGCTGACTGGGTGGTGGGGTGGCACAGAGATGCCCACACGCCCTTGCGCTCAGCGGGGCCTCCAAAGCCTGAGGAGGCTTCGTCCACTTGCACTCCAGATTTTCTGAGCTCCAGTTTCTTTTTTTTTTTTTTCTTTTTTCTTTCTTTTGCTTTTTGGGTCATACCCGGTGATGCACAGGGGTTAACTCCTGGCTCTGCACTCAGGAATTACTCCTGGAGGTGCTCAGGGGACTATATGAAATGCTGAGAATCAAACCCGGGTCGACCGCGTGCAAGGCAAACACCCTACCCGCTGTGCTATCACTCCAGCCCCCAAGCTCCAGTTTCTGAGGGGCCAGCTCTGGCTGCCAGGCAGCCGTGTGCCAGTAACGGAGCAGGACAGGGGACTGCTTTGGTCTTAGGCCTCGTGACATTGGACGTGGCATGTCCCCTCCCAGGTTCAGCCTTCCACTCTAGACAGGAAGAGAATTAAGGGAAATTTCTGTCATCCCCTCAGCCCTTCAGTTCTGTGTTCTGTGGTCCTCCTCTCCCAGGGAGATTTACTTGGAGTCCCTTCAAGGTGACAGTGATGATTCTGACATCAGCCCACCCTTCATTCACTCGGGATGCACTCGGGTCCCCCAGCTTCACCTGAGGCAGGTTACTTAATCTGCCCCATTTGCTCCCTTAGAAAAGCATGTGACGCCAGAGGGGAGTTTTCTTTTCTTTTTGGGTCACACCCGGCGATGCACAGGGGTTCCTCCTGGCTCTGCACTCAAGAATTACTCCTGGCGGTGCTCAGGGGACCATATGGGATGCTGGGAATCGAACCCGGGTTGGCGGCGTGCAAGGCAAACCTGCTGTGCTCTTGCTCCAGCCCCTGGAGGGGAGATTCTTGATGAAGATGCAGAGTGTAAACAAATGCAGCTTCTCCGACCCAGCCCCTGACATCATCAGGCCCTAAGTGCATGGTTGCTCTTGATATTGTAGCTGCGGACGTCTGTGAAAAGCCCAGCCCGAGTGTGACTCTGGATTATTTTTGCCAGGTCCCCTTTGGCCACCCTCCCTCTTGTGTCAGGAATCGTCTTTGCTGGAGAGGGATTCTGTTCGTGATGGTCGCTTCATGGCCCCCAGGCCTCACTGTGCAGAGGAACTGGCCTGTTGGAACTGGTCGGTGCCAGCAGCCTCATCGGTCCAGCTTCGGACTGACTTTGCTTTTGGCGTGTTCTTGTTAAGTTAGCTGAAAACAAGGGGCGATGCCTTTTCCACCTTCTGAACCTAAGGCCTTTATGGCTTGAGGCAGAAGTAGCCAGGCTTTGTGGCAGGGCCATAGCAGAGGGCCTTCCTGCGTCCTGAATCTGTCTTAACCCATCCTCTCCCTGTCCTGTGACATCACTGTCCTCTGCTGCTTTCCCGTAAGGCAGCTCAGGTGCCTGTCCAGAAATAACTCTCGCTCCTCTCTGCCTCCCCCTCCTCTCCCCATCCACGCTGCCCTCTCATTTCTGCCTCTGTCTCTCTCACTTGCTGCTGGCTCTCACCTCTCATCTCTCTCTCCAGGACGGAAGCCCAGCGTGCTTGAGTCTCAGAGCCTAGCACACACGGCTGCGCACTCAGCCCTTTGAGTCTCCCCGAAAGAGCCTTTCTTTCGTCCCGAGTCTTCCCTTTGCGTCCTCGAAAGCAGGAAACCTGCATTCAGATCTCTGCCCTGACTGTACCCCGGGCATGTCCCGCACTCGCTGCGCCTCCCTTTCCTCCTGTTTAGGCTGGGCCTGAGAGGTTCTGGGGAGTGCTTCTGCCCCCGGCACTCCCCTGGCACCTGCCCAGGTCCCCCTGAGCTCTGGCATCCTTCTCGCCCACGCAGGACCTCATCTATGCCAGCCCTGTGGAAACAGCCCGCACAGTGCTCATCGCCCTGAGGAGCTTTCTGCGGAGGAATGAGGATATCCAAGTGGGGGGACTCATCCGAGGCCACTTCCTGCTGATCCTGCAGCGGATGCTGGTGGAGCACGGGGTCTCCCCCGCCGGAGGTCAGTCTGTCTCTGCGGGATGTTTGCCCTCAGGTCAGGAGTGGGCCCATGCGACCAGTCTGTTCAGGAAGGACAAGCAGAATATTCTCTGCAAAAGGAAAGGGGGCTGGAGCGATAGCCGAGCGGGGAGGGCGTTTGCCTTGCACGCAGCCAACCCGGGTTTGATCCCCAGCATCCCATGTGGTACCCTGAGCCCCTCCAGGAGTAATTCCTGAGTGCTTGAACCAGGAGACCCTTTTGCAATGCCGGGTGTGACCCAAAAAGCAAAAAAAAAAGAAAAAAAAAAGAAAACTCCCGCCAGTCTGACTTCAAGTTAAAGTGTACCTCCTTCCTGTCCCTGGAGAGAGAGAGAGAGAGAGAGAGAGAGAGAGAGAGAGAGAGAGAGAGAGAGAGTGTGTGCGTGCGCGCGCACATTTAATGATGTCTTTGTCTAGCAGGGGTGAGTGTATCTAATGTACACTAGCGTGTCCCACTCTGCATGGCAGGCATGTTATCATAGTTTTCAAATCTAGAGTGGAACCCCTCAGTCTGGGAAGCTGAGCTCTCAACATGCTGGGAAGGTCTGGACTGATTTGTCTTTTCCTACTTCCTCATCAAGAAAGTTTAAGTGAGATGCCCACGCAGTTGGGAAGGGGAGCGTGGGGCCCACTGGTCAGCGGCAGGGGTGTTCCGGGCTGTGGGAGGAGCCGGGCCACTTCTGGGGGACAGGCGGACGGAGTGGCCATTCGCTGCAGGGTTCGGCTCCGGCGCTGAATGCGCTTCCCTGTGTGGGGGCACGGAGCAGGTCTGCAGCCCTGAGGCTTCTGTTTTCTTTTCTTCTTTCACTCCGCAGAGGAAGAACAACCCCTGCTTCGCACAAGTTTTAAGGGGTTTAAGTGAGATGGTGATTTTCTGGTGCCCACCACGGAGTTGGCACAGGGGTTCCGCTACCCTTTCCCTCCCGGCAGCCGCTGGCGGGGGCCGTGTGACTGACCGTGGGCTGGTGAGAGTGAGCGTGGGGCTGTGCCTCGGCCCGGCCTCGGCCTCGGGACCGCTGACGGGCCCCCTGTTCCGTGCAGGCCCCGGGAACCTGCCGCTGCTGCTGAAGCTCCTCTCCCTGGTGCAGCTACGGAACGAGCCGGGGCAGGACTTGGACAGCTTGGCCATGAAACTCCTCCACCAAGGTGCCGGCGGGCTGGCAGCGCGTAGTGGGGCAGCCTGTCTGTGCCGCTGGGCTCCTTGCGAAGGGACGTTCTGGATCTTTCTCTGCTTGTTCTCTGGGAGTGTTTGGGAGAGGGGAAAGTATGTAACAAGCCTAAGATCTAGAGCCAAAGCCTGGGTTGTCTCACCCGCCCGCTCACCCACTCACTGACCTTGGGCTCTGGAGCTAGGACCCTGGGCTGACCCGCCCACTCATTCGTTGTGCGGCCTTGGACGGTAACTTGCCTCTGCGAGCCTTGGATTCCTCAGGGAAGTTTCACTGTTGGACCTGATTTAAGGGTGTTTGGTATGTTAGGCTCCTTCCCTCCTTCCCTCCCTCCCTCCCTCCCTCCCTCTTTCTCTCCCAGACCTTATCAGGACAGTTGACCGTTATGTGCGTAGTTTCCACTTCAGAGGAGCGTTTGGAGGGAGAGCTATGTGGGACAGGAGCACCCTCAGAGGTGCCTCTGACAGGGAGAGTAATGGCCTGAAATAGCAGTGTCCTCCCGTTGTTCATTGATTTGCTCGAGTGTGCGCCAGTAATGTCTTCATTGTGAGACTTGTTGTTAACTATCTTTGGCATATCAAATACACCACAGGAGCTTGCCAGGCTCTGCCATGCGGGCGGGATACTCTCGGTAGCTTGCCCGGCTCTCCGAGAGGGGTAGAGGAATAGAACCCGGGTCAGCCACGTGCAAGGCAAATGCCCTGCCCGCTGTGCTATCGCTGCAGCCCAATGGCCTGAACAGTGGCCTGAAATGAAAGAGGTGGAGGGAGAGAATTAGTCCAGGGGTCCAGGGGACACCTCTCTGTCTGGTTTGCCACAGGCCAAGTGTCCTGTGACACCAAAGATTCCTGTGGGGCTGGGGCGGGTGCCAGGGTGCCCGTGCCCTGAGAGGGGTGTGCTCTGCGGGACCGGGAGGGGAGATCGAATCTCACCCTGAGAAGTTCCAGGGTTCAGGAGGTGAACTTGGAGCTGAATCTTGGCCTAGGAGTCGGGGTTCGGTGCTGGTTGGAAGGAGGCTGAGTGAAAGGAAAACGGCCGGTCCAGGGAACTGCATCGAAAGCGCCAGAGCTCTGCTGGCACGTGGTGCAGGGGAAGGGGGAAGCGGCAGAGACGGGCAGGGCACTCAGGGAGGGCCTCGGGTCGCAGCGTCCGGGCACGGTTCTCTGCAGTGAGCACGCTGTGTGGGCGGTGCAGCCCCTCCGATGCGGACGTCCTGCAGCCCTCCTTCAACTTCCTGTACTGCAGCCTCCAGCACACCACGCCGGGCAGCCAGCGGAGAGGTGCGGGCCCCGGCCACTGGGAAGCAGAGACTGGGCGGGGTCTGCACCCTTGACTCTCATCTCAGAAGGAGAAACGGGGGCCCCGGGGAGAGCGCAAAGGGTCCTTGTGCACATGGGAGACCCGGCTTTGATCCCTGGTGTTTAGGTCCAACGGGAACAAGAGATCAGCACGGGGCGGGGCCATCAAAGATGCCCTGGTTCCCCGGCGCCTGGGGCTTGGAAACCTTTGTCTGCTCCCCATATGTGAGTGCTCCCTGGGCTCCTCTGTGACTCACACGAGCCCTGCCCTGCGTCCTCCCTAGCTGCTGCAGTGCTCCTGAGCAGCTCAGCCCTGCTGGCGCTCCTGGAGAGGATCCTGGCCCTCACGGGGGCGGCCACCAGCCCGGCCCACTCAGCGCTACTCTGCTCCGCCTGGTTGCTCACCGCCTCCTGCTCTGCACAGCAGCACCGCGCCAGCCTGCCGGTGAGTGACCAGCCGGGGGACATGCAGACAAAGGGACACAGCTCCCAGCCCTGGGGCTTCTCGGGACAGAGATCACCCGAGAGTTTGCCTTGGTGAGATGGTTTCCTGGCCTACCAGATGGTGGGGAGCCAGGGGGTTGTTGCAGTGGGATTACGCTTGTTGGTTTACCTTTAGAGAGCTGGTATTGGCGTCCCTTTGTGTGTCTGTGTGTGTTGGGAGGTGGGGGGGCACTGGCAGGATATGGTCCCGAGGCCAGGGAGCCCTTCCCAGCCCTTCCCAGGACACAGTGCTGCTGAGGGCCTGCAGTGCTGGGGACACCAGCCCTGTGTGTTCTGGGGGACTGAACCTGGCCTGACCAACCGTAAGGCAGACGTCTTAACCCCCGCGCTCTCCCTCGGACTCCCCTGCCCTTGGTACAATTTTTGATGGTGCTCAAGCATTAACCCAGCTTTGGTGCTTGTCATGCCTGGCAGTGCTTGTGGGACCAGGTGGTGTCGGGAACAGAACCCAGGGCCTTGTGTGCAAGGCAAGTGCCCCACCACTGAGCCAGACCGCGCCCTGGCGTTCTCGAGCAAATCCTTGAAAGATAAGATGTACCAGGCAAAGGCCGGGGGAAGGCGCGTGTGGAGGACAGCCTGGGCAAGGGCTCGGAGCTGGGCACTCCTCAGGCATGGAGCAGCAAGGGAGGGGACGGCTGTCGGGGCGGAAGCCAGCCCGTGACCTAGAAGTGCCGGGCGGCAGTGTAAGTTGTCGTGGGGAGGCTGGAGACGTGCTGCGGGGGAGCCGGGGGCAGTGGGTTCTGCCCCGCGCTCCCTGTCATCACGGCCCGGCCAAGCAGCTCAGAGCATGCCTCACACTCGGCTCTCCCCTGAGACGAGCCCTCTGTGGGCCAGCCCTCAGCCTGCTCGGTCTCCTCACTAGATCAGCGCCCACCCCGTGTCCATCTCGTGCGGGTGCACGCCGCCTGTGTCGGCTTAAGGTCTGGCAGCTGCGGGAGGCCTGTATGGTCGCAGGTGCGCGGGCGGCTTGGTGGGGTAGACGGAGGGACCCCCAGCTGCCCTGGCCTCCCCTCTGCGCCATCCCTCAGCTCCCTCCTAGCCTCTGTGCTCGAGGGCCCCGAGACTGCCTTCTGGCCCCACCGCTCCATCCCTGCAGCCCCTGCCTGTGGGCAGGCCCCTGTCCGCTCCGGCCTTCCTGGCCCCTCTGCAGCCTCGCAGTCTGCCATTCCACCCTCTCTCCTGTCTCGGACCCCGGCCTCTGACTTGCTCTGCTTTGAGTCAGCTAGACTGCTTTATTTTACATCTCCTTTCCTTCTTGCGTGTATTTTCGGTTGGTTGGATTTTATTTGGGGAGGAGGGGGTTCAGAATCGGCGGTGCTCGGGGGTTTCTCCTAGCACATTGCTCAGGGCTAGCTGCCAGTGGTGCTCCGTGCCGGGAGACCAAACCAGGGTCTCCGGCACGCGGAGCACGTGCGCTGCGCCCTTGAGCTGTCTCCCCAGCCCAGGTGGTTGATTTACAATGCTTATCTTGAAACTCGGACTTAAAGAAAAATTGAGCGTCTAGCTAAGCTTCCTTCCAAATAATGCCCCCCCCCACTTTTTCTCTGTTCACCTCTTGCATTGACATGGCACCTCCAGCTTTTGTTCCTGCTGGTCCTTCTACCTGGAACCTGACCGTTCTGCCAGTGACAGGTGGCAGTGAGGACACGCTCTGGGCTCCTCTGTAGTAGCTCTAAGCCCAGTCTTCTGCCAGGGCGCCTCTGGTGCTCCGGCAGCAAGGGTGCTGGGACTCTCAGCTGCTCTGGGAGGAGCGGGAGCCCAAGGCCCCAGGCCCACTCCCTCGACAGAACCCAGAGGCAGGCTGAGAGAAGGGCAGGTCAGCAGATGGTCGTGGCCACACAGCCGGCATGTGGCTGGGCCCAGGTTTGGATTCTGGCACCTACCTTGGGCTGGTCGCTGAGCTGAGGCACGGATTGGAGCATAGGCAAAACCACAGGAGGCTTCCTGGTGGAGGAGGCCCATGAGAAAGGGGAGATTTGAGTCCCCAGGTCCAAGCTTGATTTCCTGCCTTATGTTTCTAAACTGAGGGGTGGTGAGTCTCGGTGGTGTCCTCTGTCCAGGCAGTGATGGGGAGTGTGGGTGGGTGGGGGCAGGTTGTTGTTTCCTGAGTGGGGGCACCCGCCCTTGCCCCTCGTGTCAGGTTCACCGGAACGTGTCCGTGGAACTCGCCCACGTATTGAAGGCCCTCAGCTTGCCCAAGAAGCAGCCGGCTTTGCTCTCAGGTACGGGCCTGGCCCCCGCCCTCCAGCCCCGAGGTAGGACACTCCCCGGCCAGCCGCCTCCCACCCTGACGGCGCCCACTCTGCTTCCAGCCGCCATCCTGTGCTTCCTGCGCACGGCTCTCCGCCAGAGCTTCTCCTCGGGCCTGGTGCTGCTGCTGCCCTTGGGGGTCCAGCCTCCGCCGGCCCCCGAGGACGCTGTCCTCGCTCCCCTGGGGACATCGCAAGTGCTCACCCTGGTCATCGGACTGCAGAACCTCCTGGTGCAGGTAAGACCCCCGCTGAGTCCCCACGCTGCGGCCCTGCTGCTCCGGGGCTCAAGGTGAATGTTGGTGCCCCGGGTCAGCTGAGACTTGGTCACAGCCGGGTCCCTAAGGAGGCCTCTGCGTCTCTCCCCCAGAGCGTGGTGGGGTGACAGTAGCAGCTCCTGGCCTGTGTCCCTGCAGCAGGCCAGCTTTCTCCTTCTCTTTCGGGCGCGAGAGACGGTAGCACAGGGCCTCAGGTGCTTCCCTTGCACGTGGCAGACCATGGTTCAGTCCCCGCCGTCATACATGTCTCCCGAGCCCCACCACGAGCCACCCCTGGACCTGGAGCCAGGAGTAAGCCCTGAGAGCCACCGAGTGAACCAAAAAACCAAAAAGCGTTTCTCTTTCCCAGAAGTGCCTAGAGTTAAGTATGCTTAGCTGGACTTGGGAGTAATGCCGGACACTGTGACGGGACAACACCCACAGACTTGGGGCCAGCGCCGCAGACCATGTCCCCCTCTGGGAATCGATGGACTTCTTCCCCCGAGTCATAAAGAGCAAACGGACCTCCACCCAGGGAAGCTGCGTCCTTCCCTGGGGCAGGGCATTTGCTCAGCCACTGTCCACACGCAGTCACTTGGCAGGACCAGGCTCTGCCGGGGGACGATCACAGTTGTCCTGTCCCGTCATCCATCCAGCAGTTCACATCGTCTTCCTCCACAAAGCTGCTCGACTTCTTTCATGTAAAAGCTTCTGCTTGGGGAGGCCCGCTGAGCCTTTCCAGAGAAGAGGACTTTTGACCTTGGACTTGAAGAGGTCCAGGCAGAGGGCGAGGGGAGGACAGCAGGAGCAGGAGCAGGGCGGGGAGCACGCGGGCAGGGAGGAGGTGAGGTTGACAGAGAGGCGGGCTGGACAGGCAGGGCCTCCTGTGCCCGGTGAAGGGTGTCAGGGAGCCGGGGGTGTGGGAGTCGCGGAGGTGTGGGAGCCGTGAGGTGTGGGAATGCTTCTGGGGCTCTGGAAGGTCAGAGAGTGCCAGGCAGGAAGCGGGTAGGAAGAGAAGGCTGGAGCAGGGCCTGGTTGAGCAAGATGGTTGCAGTGACCCAAGGCAGTGGCAGGGAGACCATTTCCCAACCCCTGAGCCGTCCTTCCGCAGTGCAGGCAGCCAACCCCATGCTTCCTGGAGAGGCCGAGCAGTTGGACCCTCACGCTTAGCAGCTGGGAATGTGCAGTGGGGCTGCTCGAAAGAGTTCTCCTAGGTACAGACCTAAGAAAATGGAGAGCAGGGGAGTGGTTGACCACGTGAGAACTTGTATGTAGTATCTGGGATGTGGCGCAAACCGTAGAGCCTGTGGGAGGTTCTGGGTTCAATCCTCAGTACCACACAGTACCCCCACTTAGTACCCACTGAGTGTGGCCCTGGTGACTCCCAGCTCTGCTGTGACTGGCCCCACAATAGTAACAGCAAAACGAATAAAATCTAAAAAGAAGTGTTAAAAAACAAACTCACTTACAAATGTCATAGCACCTTTTTCTAAGAAACCCAGAAGTGCAAAATCCCAATGTCTGTCCACTGATGGTGAATGGAAAAAACTCTCTATACATATAACATGCCACTGAACACTGTGTGACCAGAAGATGAATAAAGGACTGATCCATTGCAACATGAATGAACCTTGACAGTATTAAACTAAGTGAAAAAGAACCAGATGCAAAAGGCCAAATATTATTTCATTTTAATAAACTATCCAATATAAGCAATTCCATAGAGACAGTAAATTAGTGGTTTCCTAGGGCTTTTGTTTGTTTTTTGCAACACCCAGTGGTACTCAGGGCTTACTCCTGAGTAAGGAGTACTCAGGGATCACACAGGGGGATGGAGGGATCATCTGGGGTGCTGGCAATCAAACGTGGCCATGTGCAAGACAAGCACCCTTCCCACTATACTAGCTCTCCAGCCCCCTCACGACTGTTTTGGTGGGGGGCAATAGAATGAGAAGCTTCTGCATTTGATAAATAAAGGGATTCTTCTAGGGTAATAAATGTTCTGGAATTATATAGCTGTTCAACTCCGAGTATTCTAAACCAATGAATGACACCATCTAAAGGATGAATTTCATTGTTTCTGATTGTATCTCAATAAATCTCTGTCTTAGAGACTTAGCCGTGGGAGATGTCATCCCACATGGCCACTCTGTCCTCCGGCCAGCGGTGTATGTCAAGTCCTCACATTTTCATCCACAAGTGCTCTTTTCTGCCACCAGTAGAAAAAAAAATAGCTTCAAAAGAACTGGTGTTGGGCTAGAGAGATAGTACAGTGAGTTCAGGGCACTTGGTTTGCATGTGGCCAATCCAGGTTAGATCCCCAGCACCCCCATAAGGTCCCCTTAGCCCTGCCAGGAGTGCTCCTGAGCACAGAGCCAGGAGGAATTCCTGAGCATGGCCAGGTGTGGGTCCCCCAAAACTAAAAATCTGGTGTGATTAGATCAAGACCCAATCAAACAATCTCCCTTGTGCCATATCACAATGATAGGAGTCAGGTATAGGGCAGATCACAAAAGCCACCTCATTGTGTGGACTCCATGGGGCAGGGAGTGTGGCCTGGGACGTCTCCTCTCTTCCACAGTGGAGCAGGAAAGTTTCCTTTGCTCCGCGTCCTCCACGGTTTGTAGTGTCTGTCTTCCAGTTCGGGGTATGGAGTGGCAGCTCTTGGTAGTAAGGGTCTGCATTTCCCCGAAGATGTGGTTATTGGGACAGGCAGCTTTGACGAAAGCTCTGCTGCTGTGACCCGTTGGGAGGCTCCCTTCCTGGGGGAGAGCCCCAGGGCAGAGCACATGCCTAGCCCCTGCATGGGGCCCAGGGCCTGACCTTGGCCCCACAGGGCCCCCGTAGTGCCCCAGGCTCTAGTCCAGCTGGGCTGAGCACCGCTGGGCAAAGCTGTACCAGGGACAAAGCCGGTTCAAAGGGAAACCAACCAGACCGTAGCAACAACGAGCCAGTTGGGAAGCTGCCACAGGGCCGGCGATCCGAGACTCTGCGGGGCCCCGGCTCACCTGCTCTGAAGCCAACATCGGCAGAGCCTCAGTCATGCTCTCTACTTGGGTGCAAAGTGAAGCTCTTAAAATATTTCTTGATTAATCAGAGATTTGGGTTTTTTTCTTTATTGATTCATCTTTGTTTGGGGACCATACTTGGCTCTGAGCTCAGGGATCACCTCTGGCAGTGCTTAGGGGCACCATATGTGATGCCAGGGATCGAATCCAGGTCAGCCATGTGCAAGGCAAGTACTGAGTATCTCTTGACCTATCATTCAGAAAACAAACTTTACATTTTTTTCAATGGCACCAAAATTCACTGGTCACAAGCTATGACATGAACTTCTTTGTGGGGTTATGTTCGTTTGATTTGGAGGTGGTGTGGCTTGGGCCAAACCTGGCATTGCTCATTTACTTCTGCCTAAGTGCTCAGGGATCACTCCTGGCAGGACTCGAGCCATATGGGGTGCCAAGGCAAGGTGGGGTATGCTGTCCCATCTCTCCGGCTGTCTTTGTTTCCTGCAGAAGGACCCTCTGTTGTCCAGGCCTGTGTCAGCTGCCTGGAGGCCTTGCTTGACTATCTGCATGCCAGGAACCCAGAGCTGGGTAAGAGCCCCTCTCCCAATTCTGATGTTCCCATGGGGGAAACTGGGGGTGGGGCCAGCTCCTGCCACCCCCACCCCCCTGTGAAAGACTTGTTTCACTTCATTCTTTAAACAACACTTGCAAGGGTACACTCAGGTCCATTATACAGACGAGAACTCTGAGGTTCAGAGAGTTCAAGTGATACTGAGCCCAGCCAGAGGTCTCAGAACTCTCATGTGGCAGGGCTGGCCAGTTGCTGCCTCCCCAGTATGGCAATCATGGTCTTTCTGGGCCAGGCCACAGAGGTGGATAGCCACTCCTGGGGGCCAGAAACCCCCTGGGCTCGGCTTGGCCAGGGCCTGGGCCTCTAGGCGCGCAGACCTTTTTGCACCAACAGGAGGAGCAGGTCCACCTTAGCAGGGCTCAAAGGTGGCACTGGCGCCCCAGGGTGACGGCTGTTTCCCACAGCACTCCACGTGGCCTCCCAGCCCTGGAATCGATTTCTGCTGTTCACCCTCCTGGATGCCGGAGAGAATTCCTTCCTCAGACCTGAGATCTTGAGGCTCATGACTCTGGTAAGTGCAGAAGACATGGTCGTGTGGTTTGAAGACTTCCCTATAGGCTGACCCGGGGGCCTTCCCCTTCGTGCGGCCTGCCCAGACCATCCCTCTCAGTGCCCAACATCTCCTTACTCGCTCCCCACCCTCATCCCCGCCACGTGCCAGGACCCTGGCCAGGTGAGCACAGAGCACTGCCTGGAAGGGCTGCTCAGTCTTGAGAAAAAGGCAGACACAGAAACTGGTGCTTATGATGAGACGCCAGCCGGAGGGCAATAAGCCAGGGCCTGGCCCATCGTAAATTCCTGCTGGTAAAACCACAAGCGTGTGAGGACAGAGAAGCGGAGCCCGAGCGAACGGGCTGGGAGCGGGCACGTAAGAAAGAGGATTGGCTCTGCGAGACCGGGGGTGGGGAGAGGCCTCAGCCGATCCCCGCCGATGCCTGTGTTTTCTTCACCAAAGGGAACATGAGGCTGAAGGATTGGTAGGGTGGAGGGGGCAGAGAGGAGTCTGGGGCAGAAGCACCTGCCTGACACGTGGCTGACCCCCGGGGGGCTCCCCAAGCATTGCTGGGTACAGGGTGGCCCTGGGTGATGCCTGGCACCGCAGGGCCCACTCAGCACTGCACCCTCAGGCCCTCAGTGGAACCTCTCAGCCCTGAGCCCCTCTTGCCCCACCACAGAAAACATTATTTTTGACAAAGAGGAAAGTCTCCAAGGTGGGGAAGTGAGAGCTGCAGGTTTAACGGCACAGGGCGGTGCCTGGTGACACTTTAGGCAAGGAGTCCCTCCCATCAGCTTCATCACTGTGCGTTTGTGACACAACTCCATTCCTGCCCTCTAATCCCGAGCCCCAGAGGCAGGCCCGGGTCCCCAGGTAGGTGCCCCTGAGACATCCCTGAAAGAAATACCGACTGCCTGCTCGCCGGGCTTCCTCCCCCAGTTTGTGCGATTCCGAAGCAGCAGCGTCCTCTCCGCCAGAGGAAGTGGGGCACGTCCTGCACGGAGCAGCCACAGCGGGGCCCTCCCGCCCTCTCGGACACCGCAGTCCGAGCTCTGCGTGACTTCATCCTGCAGGTGGGTGCGCCGGGCCTCCCTGCCCTGTAGAGGCAGGCGGCGGCAGGCAGGCAGGAGAGCTGGAGACAGGAGCACTGAGGAGGCCCCTGATCTTCGTCCTCCCTGCAGGTCCAGAGCCGCGGCCTCCTGACTGACCCGAGCCCGGTGCAGGACTTGCAGGCTTCCTTGGAGGGCCTCTCCCCCGGAGCCGCCTCTGCCCAGCCACCCCTGCAGGACATGCTGTATCCTTCCGTGCATCTGGGAGACGGGGCCAGGGCCAGGTCCCTAAGCAGTGCTTCCTCCCCGCAGTGTGCCGTGCCTGTGCACAGAAATTTGCTGTTCTGTGAAAGTTCTCACCACTTACATATAGCACATCAATGGCACATCAGAGATTGATGTTCAGGCATTCTTGTTATAAATAAGGGCTTTATTTCAGCCAGGAGCAGGAACGGCGGCGCAGGCCAGCGACCCTGCCTGTTCCTTCCTCCCAGTGTGCTGTGCGCTGCGTATGGCCACAACTTAAATGGGCAGGTGGAAGGCGTGACTAGACCACAGGAGAGCCCCAGAGAAGCTCCCTCACTGCTCCCGAAAGAGCGCGGCCTCCCGGGGCTTTGGAGAAGGCGGCCACGCTCAGCCTGAGCCGAGTGGTTGGCCGGCAGGCCCCTGAGGAAGTGGGGCTGGGGCAGTTGCCTGAGATCTTATTTGGGGCTATGATGGTCAGACGTGTGTGTGTGTGTGTGTGTGTGTGTGTGTGTGTGTGTGTGTGTGTGTGTTCCCCCGCCCATGGAACAATTCCCTGCTATGATGCAGCTCCTGGCCCAGCTGTTCAGGCCCCAATTTTAGAGCGGGCCCCAGTATTCTGAGGACCCTCTGCTCCTGTCACGTCCAACCTCTCAGGCAGCTGGAAGCATGTCTCTGAGACAGGTCCCATTCTCTACTGTTCTCCACTCATGTGTGCTGCCAGCTGCCTGGGAGGGGTGGCTGTGTCGCTGTCCCACATCAGAGACTGACCCTCAGGACTTGCACGCCCAGGAACGGAAGAGAAAGGAGGCCCGGGGAAGACAGATCAGGGCACAGATGTCGCAGGAATGGGTGGTGATGCTGCATCCTCTATTGTTGGAATGGAATCAGGAAATAAAGTGAGCCTTGCATCACCATGGCGCTCTAGAGTCATTTCTCTCCACTAAAGGCTCAATCAGCTGGTTCCTGGGGGCGGGAGGAGCAGGCTTTGTTCTGGCAACACCTAAGGAGCACCAGAGCCAGCTGGCATCACCGGAAGGGCAGAGCAGACACGTGGCAGGTGCTGCTGTGATCCAGGGGCTCCGAGACGTACTCGAGCTGCCTGCTGGCCTCGTGAGAAGGTGGAGAGGAGTCGCTTCCGGGCGAAGCAACAGAGCAACCGAATCCTCAGCTTTCCTTGCTGACTCCTGTCTGGTCCAAACAGGCCCCCTCTTTCCTTTCTCTGGGCTTCTCTGAGCTTGTATCTGTACAGCCACACCCCTGCTTCTAACTTCTGGGTTTACAGCTGTTCCAAGCTTAGTGCACAATGGGGGTGGGGGTGAGGGGCTTGCTGCGTGGGCATGGGAAAGGCCCCAGCACAGCAGATGTGGCCCCAAAATAAACACAACAGGGGTGTGGTTCCGCCAGCAGGTCAACCTGTACATGCAGGGCAAGTGCATCAGCAGCCTGATGGTGACTTCAGGCTTCCTGATACCCCAAAATCACCACTATGCCTTTGGCCGGACTCCAACAACTTGGGACCAAGTTTACTAAGAAATTAAATGTCAAAAACTTAGGTGTGTGGGAGCCACGCCCACAAACCACCTCCAGTTCAGCTATACAAGCTAATTTATTGGCCTTAATTCAGAGGCCCATAAATAAATCTCAAAAGAGATTAAAAACCACAATTAGTCTCGGACCCACACATGGCTGAACAGTCTGGGATAAGTCTGAGGGGGGTGAGTTGGCCTGGAGCCTGCCTAAGCCGAGCCCCCGGCAGCTGCTTGCTTCTACAATCCAAAATTGCTGCCATAGCCCTGGCCTGACTCCAATATCAGGATGGACCTCACCAAGATATAATCTGCTGAAAATTTGGGTATGTGGGTTTTGTGACTGAAATCTCCACACTTTCTTGGAGTTGGGATGGGCTACCTCCCCCCCTCTCCCCCCCCACACACACACTCCCCAGTACTCCTGGAAGCACTGGCAGTTACCCCCAAGAACCAACTCCAGTGTCACCATGTAAGCTCTGTTATTGGCTTTGCTTCAGAGACCCATAAATAGATCTCGAAAGAGATCAAAAGCTGCAGTTAATCTCAGACCCACACAAGGCTGAATAGATGGGTAAATCAGAAGGGGGCGGGTCAGCCTGGAGCCCTCCCAAGCAGAGTCCCTGGCAGCTGCTTGCTCCCACAATCCAAAACTGCCACCATGCCCCTGGCCTGACTCTGTCTCAGGACAGATCTCACCAAGACATAATCTGCTGAAAATTCTGGTATGTGGGTTTTGTGACTGAAATCTCCAGGCTTTCTCAGGGTCAGGATGGTTACCTTTCCCCACCTCCCAGTACTTCCGAAGCCTTGGCAGTCACATCCACACCCCAAATCTGCCAGCCAACTGAAAAGCTATTCCAGCCTTACCATCCTGATAAAAATACCAAATGTCCTGAACAAACACCATGACCTCTTAGCATCTGTATTGGAAACCATAATGCATAAAAGGAAAAGAAGAGATGAGAGTAAGAAGGAAAGTGCCTCCTAGAGAGGGAGGCTAGGGGTGGAGGATGAGGTATTGGGGATGGTGATAAGGAAACAGGGATATTCGTGGAGGGATGGGTGCTGGATTGAAACCCAATTATGAACAGCTTTGTAATGGGCTATCTCAGATATTGAATTAAAAAAATTTTAAGGGGATGGAGTGATAGCACAGCGGGAAGGGTGTTTGCCTTGCACGCGGCCAACCCGGGTTCAATTCCCAGCATCCCATATGGTCCCCCGAGCACCTCCAGGGGTAATTCCTGAGTGCAGAGCCAGGAGTAACCCCTGTGCATCGCTGGGTGTGACCCAAAAAGCAAAAAAAAAAAAAAATTCAATGTATTGTGGAGTTCATGCCCACTTCAACCAGCTTCATTAGTGGCTGAGTAAATAGCAGTACTCCTACATTAAAATAAAAAATATGAAAAAAAAAACAAGTAATCATGGCTCACTAGACTGAATCTTATTAATTGTAGTTTTAAAACACTGGTAGATGGGTCAGAGATGGCACAGGGATAAGATGCTGGCCCTGCACGTGGCTGATCCCTGTTCAATTCCTGGCACCCCATATGGTCCCTTGATTCCTTCCAGGAGTAATCCCTGAGCACAGAGTCAGGAGTCAGCACTGTACACCACAGTTGTGCCCCCACCAAATGGTAGAGGGGCCAGGAGACAGTGCTGCAGTTAAGAGCAGATGCCTAGCATTTGCCGAACTTGGGTTCAGGTCCCCGCCTCAAGTCCTGCTTAAGCATCTCCCTGGACTGACCTGGGTGACCCAGGCATTCCGCCCTGCAGGGCACAATCAGCAGCCCTTCCTGGGGTCCCAACTGGCTGAAAGTTGCAGATAGGGTCCCAGGCCTTACGAGCACCGCTTGGGCGGAGGTTCTCACACACATACATACAAACACTGGTTGAGGATGTGTTTTAGTCATAGAACGCAGGCCCCAGCCCGTAAGTATGAAGCCTCAATTCAGTACCCAGCATCACCAAAAAGATGAAACATTTAAAAAAGGAGAAACAATTTGGGGGCGGGGCGCGGAAGGGCCGCGGTAATACGCTGACTCCCTTCTGAACTGGGCGTGGACCCTAGGCAAAGTCAGCAGCGTGAACCTGCCTCAACCCACCTTTAGCAGAGCGCCACGCGAAGCCCCAGCGCAGGCTGGGCGCCCGGTGGGCGTAACCAGGTTTCCCCACGGTGCTAGGGACCCGCTCTGCTCGGCGGGGCGGGACCGGACGTGACGTCAGAGGAGCGCCCGTCGCGGCCTCTGCCCATTGGCTGGGAGCGGCGCCGGGGCGGGGCTCGGGCTCCACGCTCCTCTGCTCCGGCTTCACCGGCTTCCCTGCGGCGCTGTCCTGTGCTCCGTGGGACCTGCCGGTCGCCTTCCCGCGCTGCCCGGCTTGGTAGGTGGGGAGGGGGCCGCGGGGTGGGCGCGGGGGCTGTGGCCCGGAGCCGGTCTCCGGTTTCCCGGTTCGCCGGGACGGGCGGTGGTGAGGTCGGCGCTCCGGGGCGCCTGTCATTGAAGCTTCACGGTTGCTCGTCCCGCAGCGCCGAAGGTGGGGACAGAGACCGAGCCCGGGAGCCCGGGTCGCCGGCTCTGGGGCCACCACCAGCCGCCCCTGCAGACGCGGGCAGAGTTGCCCGCTGTGCCTGCTGGAGCTCTGGGAGGACAGTGGGAGTGACCGTGGAGAAAGCAGGTCGGGAAGGTGAATCCGGGACAGGAAACTTGCCTTGCATGCGCGAAGCTCTTCCTCTCCCCTCTCCCCACACGACTTGCCTTGCATGCACGAAGCCCCGGGTTCTGGCACACACACACACACACACACACACACACACACACCTTGCTTTGCATGCGTACACACACACTCATATACACACACATGACTTGCCTTGCATGCACGAACCCCCAGGTTCTGGCACACACACCCGAAACCTCACACCGCCAGCATTTTCTCACGTGTTGCCTCAGTTCTGAGTGTGCCTGTAACACCCCTTGGTCCCTGGCCTCTGTCCCAGGTTATCACACACACACACACACACACACACACACGACTTGCCTTGCATGCGTGAAGCCCCAGGTTTTGGTGCGCGCTCACACACACACACACACACACACACACACCTCGAAACCTCACACTGCCAGCATTTTTTCGTATGTTGCCTCAGTTCTGAGTGCACCTGTAATACCCCTTGGTCCCTGGCCTCTGCCCCAGGTTATCTCACACACACACACACACACACACACACACACGACTTGCCTTGCATGCATATGCATGCATGAAGCCCCAGGTTTTGGCGCGCGCGCACACACACACACACACACACACACCCTGAAATCTCACACTGCCAGCGTTATCTCACGTTGCCTCAGTTCTGAGTGTGCCTATAACATCCCCTGGTCCCCGGCCTCTGCCCTGGCTAGCGCTGGTTCCCTGCGGTGCTGCTGAGACCTTGGAAGGCAGGAAGTCCTGGGTTGGGCCTCCAGACCTTCATTGTCCCATCAGCACAGGCTGAAAGCAGCACCCTGCACAGCCCAGTTCACATCCAAGGAACCCAGTGGGGTTCCCCTGGGCCGGATATGGGCCAAACAGTGGCCAGTGTGAAGGTATGCTACTGTCCCTTTAGTTTGGGGGTCCCCTCACTTTCTATGCCTTGGTGTCCTCATTGATAAAATCGGACAGCTGCCACGTGAGTGGGAGGCCTCCCTGGCCACTGCATGTAACGCTTCACCCCACTGAGTCCCACTCAGCGCCTCTGACCCGGCGTGGGGATCCAGATACCGGGAATGCAGGGAGTTTGTCTTAGTCCCAGGTTTCCGGCTCTGGAACCCAGGAGTTTCAAAACGGCAACTTTCCAGGACTTCGTTCTCCAATAAACCTCCTTTTCTTTTTGGGTTATACCCGTTGACACAACAAGGGGTTACTCCTGGCTCTGCACTCAGGAATTACTCCTGGTGGTGTTTAGGGAAACATATGGGATGCTGAGAATTGAACCCGGGTCAGCCGCATGTGAGGCAAACCCACTGTGCTATCGTTCCAGCCCCTGTGTACCTATCTTTTTTTTTTTTTTTTTTTTGCTTTTTGGGTCACACCTGGCAATGCACAGGGGTTACTCCTGGCTCTGCACTCAGGAATCACTCCTGGCGGTGCTCAGGGGACCATATGGGATGCTGGGAATCTGGAAATCGAACTTGGATCGGCCGTGTGCAAGGCAAACGCCCTACCCGCTGTGCTATCGCCCCAGCCCCTGTGTACCTATCTTATGTAGCTCTCTAACCAAGGGTCATGGAAAAATTTCTCCATCGAGGGGGATATTGAAAATGGGGCTCATGCCTGGAGATGCAGAGGGTGTGCACAAGCCTCTCCCCCGACACTCCCTTCTCGCCTGCCTCCCTTCTTCCTTGCTGATGACAGAGTAGAAAGGATGTCCCAGGGGCCAGGACGATAGTACAGTGAGGAGGGCACTTGCCTTGCATGCAGCCAATCTGGGTTCAGTCCCCAGCATCCCATATGGTTCCCTGAGCACTGCCAGGAGTGATCCCTAATCTCGGAGCCAGAAACAAGTCCTGAGTACCATCAGAAGTGGTTCTCCCCCCAAAAAAGCCCGCCCGGGGTGTCCTCCCCCAGGTCCCTTCCTTGGAGGCCAGGATGGACCGATGATGAGAACAGCATGGGTCAGGTACAGTGCTTCACATGGCCCTCCCCTCCATGGGGTGAAGGCCTCACCCCTCCTCACAGCTGAGGACGCTGATGCCTAGAGAGGTGTCGCCATCTGCGTCCGCCCTAGACACGGCCCATGGTGTCCTCAGCCTCCCGCATTACCGACGTTTCTCTCCACCTCCCCAGTCTCTGTTGTGTCTCTGCCCGTCACAGGTCCCAGGCCAGGCGCGGGGGCTCCCAGGACTCCGCCGTGTGGGTCTGGATATTTGGAGGCAACGCTTTGTCAGGAAGTCACTTGGCCGCACCCATTTCCTGTGACGCCGAGCTCCGCTCCTGTCCCCTCGCCCGGGCTTGTGGCTATGGCTCTGCATGCCCTGGCCTGCGTCTTTGTCCTGCTGCTCTCCGGGCTGGGCACCGGGGACCCGGGCCTGGAGATCTGTATCCTTGGGGGTTGGAGGTGGTTCTGAGGGGTCTGTGAATGGGGTCTTTCTCTCTCTCCTCCCCCGCCCCCACATACAGTCTGGTGACACTGACAGGGGGACCAGGTCACAGTGTCATGGACTGGGGGCGTGGCTCAATGACCAGACTTACATCTTGCATGTCTGAGGTCTTTGGTGGACCTGTGTGCCTGCTGATGAGCCCTGGGTCATTCAGCTTTTCCGTAGTTAAATGGAATAAGGCAAAGTGTGTTTCTCAGCCACATGGCTCAGCGGATCATTCCAAGTGCTTGGTGGGGAGACCCTGGCACCCGCGACCACCTACTGTGGCCTGGCTTTGAGCATACAGACAAAACCGGGACCTGACCCTCCCAGGCAGTGTGGGCCGTGGGAGCCGAGGAGCCAGAGCAAAGTTCTGGAACTGTGGGTGGTGGAGAATGGCAGAACCTGGCCAATCCTGTAGGGGTAGAATGGCCTGAACTGAACCCAGGGTTCTTTGGGGGATGCCTCTGGTGGGCTGCGTTAAGTCTGTACAGAGTTTGGGGCCCGTTTCCACGATGGTGTGCAGGGACACACACTTTCATTCACCTTCAGATCCTGCCATGGCTGGTTCCTCCCGGGCCTCCAGCAGTGGCTGGTCAGGAATAGGACTATGAGCCCTCAAGAGGGGGACCCTGGACTGTCAAGGCAGGAGTATAAGTGCCTCCAACCCCCTTAACTCAGTGCTCTCCAGACAAGAAGATGTTTGAGGTGAAGCGGCGGGAGCAGCTGCTGGCCCTGAAGAACCTGGTCCAGCTGAGTGATATCCACCAGCAGTACAAGATCCTGGACGTCATGCTCAAGGGTCTCTTCAAGGTGCGTGTGTGCGTGCGGGAGCAGTGTCCGGTCTGGGCATTGAAGGATGCATAGGAGTTCTCTGAGGATGTGCATGTCACGAGAGAGCACCGCGGGTGCAGGTTCCGGGGTGGACATAGGTCAGTCTGCAGCATGGCCACAGCCACCCCACCCTGGGGGTCCCGCAGGTGCTACAGGACTCCCAGACGGTGCTCCTAGCTGCCGACGTGCTCCCGGATGGGCCCTTCCCCCAGGACGAGAAGCTGAAGGAAGGTAGGGTCTGCCCACTCGCTGGCACTCTGGCGCCTCCCGTTTCTTGCCGTTCCTTCCTCTCCGCACGTGCCCTTCGTGGCACTTCGCTTGGGCTGATGGGCACTTGGTCTGTGATTCCCTGGGCATGGCTGGGCTTTGGAGCCAGTATTTGTATGCCTACTGTGGATGTCTTGGCTTGTCAGGACAAAGCCCCTGTGCCCCTCTCTCCCCCCTCTCGGCCACCCCGATGCTCCCGGAGAAGAGGCTGGGCGGAGTCACCAGCGTCACTGCTGCTTTGAAGAGCCCCAACTCTCATTCATCTTCTTTTTGTTTTGATGGGATCAGGGGGAGAGTGGTAGTTTGGGCCACATCTGGGCCACATCAGGGGCTATTCCTGGCTCTGTGCTCCATCCAACGTCTCACTGGCAATGCTTAAGGGACCATATATGGTGCCAGGGATCAAAGCAGGGACAGCTGCATGCAAGCAATACTCTCCCTGTGGCCCTACAAACCTTTTTTTTTTTTTTTTGAGAGACCACACCAACTATGCTCAAGGATTTACTCTAAGTCCTACCAGGAATTACTCCTGGTGGAGCTCGGAGGACCTTATGAGATGCCAGGGATTGAACCCAGGTTGGCTGTATGCCAGAAGAATGTCCTGTCTGCTGTACCATCTCTCCATGCCCACCCACCCCCAAATTCTTTTCTTTATTGTTTTATTTTTGGGCCATGTCCCGTGGTACTCAGGGCTTACTTCTGGCTCTGAGCTCGGGATCATTCCTGGCTCTGCATTCAAGGGACCCTATGGGATGCCAGGGATTAAATTCAGGTTCAGGGACTGGAGCGATAGCACAGTGGGTAGGGCGTTTGCCTTGCACGTGGCCGACCCGGGTTCGATTCCCAGCATCCCATATAGTCCCCCAAGCACTGCCAGGAGTAATTCCTGAGTGCATGAACCAGGAGTAATCCCTGTGCATCGCCAGGTGTGACCCAAAAAAGCAAAAAAATAAAATAAAATAAATTCAGGTTCAGCCACCTGCCAGGTAACTGCCCTACCCTCTGTGCTGTTGCTCCAGCCCCTACCCCTTAATTTTTTTTCTTTTTTTCGCTTTTTGGGTCACACCCAGCAGTGCTCAGGGATTACTCCTGGCTCTACACTCAGGAATTACTCCTAGGGTGCTCAGGGTAATCTTGCTCGTGCAAGACAAACGCCCTACCCACTGTTCTATAGCTCCAGCTCTAATCCTTTTATTTTTTCAATGTTTTATTTATTTATTTTTTTGCTTTTTTTGGGGGGGAGGTCACACTCAGTCAATGCTCAGGGGTTACTCCTGGCTCTGCGCTCAGGAGTTACTCCTGGAGGTGCTCAGGGGACCATATGGGATGCTGGGAATCAAACCCGGATTGGCCGCGTGCAAGGCAAACGCCCTACCCACTGTGCTATCTCTCCAGCCCCTCGATGTTTTATTTTATTTGTTTTTGGATTTGGGGCCACAAGCTGTGGTGCTCAGGGGTGACTCCTGGCTTTGCACTCAAGAATGACTCCTGGTGGGCTCTGGGGACCATTTGGGGTGTCAGGGATTGAACCTGGATCAGCCACACTCAAGGCAGACACCTCCCTGCCGGTCTTCCAATGCCCTCTCTCCGGCCCCTGATCCTTTTGAGCCAGCTGAGCGGTGGCTGAGAGAATATTCTGGGCTGGGGCTGCGGTCTGGTCTCGCATGGGCAAGGCCCTGGGTTCGATCCCAGCACGGCGTTGCCGGCTCAGCTCGGCTCCGTCGTTGAGGGTGGGTGTGCCGGCGGGCAGCCTTCTCGCAGGTGCTGGAGAACACGGCCTTCTTCGGGGATGTGTTACTGCGCTTCCCGCGGATCGTGCACCACTACTTCGACCGCAACTCCAACTGGAACCTCCTCATCCGCTGGGGCGTCAGCTTCTGCAACCAGTCGGGTGTCTTTGACCAGGGCGCCCACTCGCCCATCCTCCGGCTGGTACGGGGCCGGGCGGGAGGGGAGCAGCCGGTGCCCCCCGTCAGCATGGGGTGAGGCTCAGGGGACTCGCTGGCCCTCGCTGCAGATGGCCCAGGAGCTGGGGATCAGCGAGAAGGACTCGGACTTCCACAACCCTTTCCTGGCGGACCGCACGCAGGTGAGCGGCGGGCGGGTGGGGCTGGGGCTGGCTCCTGCCTCAGCCTCAAGACGCCTCTTCTGGTGGCGGGGGGGGGAGAGGGGTTGCCCTCCATGGCGCGTAACCCAGGGCCGCTCAGACGTCAGGAGGAGCAGGTATGTCTCTGCCATGGGCGCCGAGACCAGGCTCTCCCCACCTGTGTACCCTCGGCCCAGCGGGGCCAGCCTCGGCCTGGTGGCATGATTTGGGCTGGCCCCAGCCATGCAAGTTTCCCCCTGTGGTCGAGAGTGACACAGTGACAGCTGTCACATATGCAGCCGCAGCGGTCACTTGGCTGAGACAGACACGAGGCTTGTTTTGCCAACTGTTGGTGCTAGATCTAAGGGACAGAGGATTAATTGTTCCTGTGCTTTCTGGAATCAAAGACGTCCCTTCCCCAAGGCATGAACTCGTGGCTCCCACACCAGCACCCCGCCCCCCGCCCCCTTCTTTTCCCCTCCCCCTGCATTTGGCTCCACTTTTCATCAGGGCTGAGGGGCACCGAGCACTTGTACTTAGTCAGTCACACGTTGTAGTGCCCCGTCTGGCCTGTAGGGGGCACTGTCGGGGGGCTTGGCTCCCAGTATTTCTCCTAATGATTACAGGTTCTGTGATTCCAGCCACAGAGCCGAGCTTTGAGCCGGGAACAGAGGCCTCAGCCTGGGGCCTGTCCGTGGTCGGGGGTGGGTTGCCATGAGGAGTATGCTGATGCATTTAGGAGGCAGTGCAGGCATGGGGACCATGCCTGGCTGTCACTCAGGGCTTACTCCTGGCCCAGTGCTCAGAGGTCCTGTCGGGAATTGAACCGAGGTGGACCATGTGTAAGGCCAGCACCCGCCGCTGGACTCTCCGGCGTGGTGCCAGCTTCTTTTCTATTTCCTTTTTAATTTTGTTGGTTTTGGGGGCCAAACCCGGCAATTATTTCAGGGCTTATTCCTGGCTCCGCACTCAGGAGTCTCTCCTGGGGGACCATGTGGGATGCTGAGGATCGAACACAGGTTGGTTGTGCCTAAGACAAACGCTGTGCCCGCTGTGCTGTCATTCCGGCCCTGCATTCTGATTCTTGTCAGTCGCTTTCCCGTAGGCGTGGGAACATGTGACCAGGCCTGTGTTATCAACCTCAGTTTGCTTCTGCCTTTGGCGGCCCCAATGAGCGTAACTCTCTTTGTCTGCCTGTGTGTGTGCCCAGCGGTCTTCCTGGGGCCCAGCAGAAACGGGGTTGTTTAGCGAGTCCCTACAAAGGGAACGGCTTGGGTTTCACATCCTGCGCCAGCAGACCTCGTGGCAGTGAGTAATTTTGGACATTGTTCCCCGTAGACACCTGTGTCGGGGTTCCTGGGAGCATCTCGGGTGGCCGTTCCTGAGGAGAACTTCAGGACTTGCTGTTCCCTGGCTGTTCAAACAGTGGAGGGAGAGCGAGTGAAGGCCGGCGGGAAAAGGGCCCGACCAAGGGCTCTCGCCCGCGGAGGCTCCTGGGTCCTCCCACGACCGTTGCCCCACGCAGGAGCAGCGCCGCCTTCCAGGGGAGCTTGGTGAAGATCCGGTGTGCAGGGTTCGAGCAAGGGCCGCTGGCCACGCAGACTCCCTTGCCAGCTCCGGGCTCAATCAGATATGTAGGCTAGAGTGAGCCGCTCGTCTCTGTGGTGGGGCTCCCCCCCGCCCCCCAAATCCATGTTCTTAGGCGCCAGCCCAGAAAGCAGCCCTTTCCACACACGGCTATCGGATGGTGGGAACGTTCCGTTCTCTTGGTTTAACGGAACCATCAGAGCCCTGGCATGCAGGAAGGGGGTGGGGGACGGGCCCTCTGCCCTGTGAAGCGTTTTGCTCGGACCCCCCGCCCCCCACAGCACGGGGCCAGGCTCAGGCCCAAGCTTTTCCTCCCATTTGCGTTTGTTCATGCAACATTTCGTTGTAATACGGACGGGAAGTGTTTAACAAATGGGGGGAGGGTCCGCGTGCCTCGGTGCTTTCGAAGTATCAGAATTCCCTTCCGGGATGGCAGACTGTAAGGGATGCACCGGGCAGGCAGGGAGAGGCTGGGGACACCTCCAGGTTGTGTGATTTGAGTTTCCCTCCCTTGGGAGCGGGAGGGGGACATGCTTTTATGATGCTGTCGGCCTCCCCCCTCTGCCGGCTCACACCTGGGGGATCTCACACCCGGGCCCATCACGCCACAGCATGGAGGCTGGTTTCCGCCCAGCCCTCTCAATCTTGCAAAGCTCCCGGTGTTTGGAGGCCACTGTAACTCTTCCTTGAACATGGACCCGGCCGCGTGCCAGAGTGCGACACTTGGCCGCCATGTCGTCCTGTCCTCATAGACCAGAAAGAACAGGGAGGGCAAGAGAGGGGGCCCCAGCAGGTCAGACCCAGCCCCCTGAGGGCAGGAGCAGGCCTGGCTCTCCTGCGCCAAAGAGGGTGGGAGCTCGGAGGAGCATTCTGGGCCTGTGCAAAGGCCAGGAGGTAGGAGGAAGCTGGAAGCCCAAGAACCCAAAGACGGCGAAGTGTGGGAGGGAGGAAGAGGCCAGGGCGCCATGGGCATCACAGCAGGGACTCCACCCTGGGCCTGGGCTGGGGAGGGCCGGAGGTGCACACTGGGACGAGATCCAACTTGCCGGAGAAAATGGTCCAAGAGGGACAAAGGCAGCGGGTGTGCGTGACCTTGAGGCTCCCAGAGTGACTGGGCAAGGGGGGGCTTGGGGGTGGGGGAAGAAACCGCTGGGCAGAGGACTCGGTGTGGAAAGCGGGGTGCTCTGTGTGGGCTTGGGGGGGTGCCATGGCAGGGCGTGTGGGGGGGGGAGAGGGAGCGTGCCCAGTGTGGGCCCTCCTGGTAGGTTCGCGCATGGCAGTGGAATCTGAGGAGCAGCCTGTGTCCCTTCATCTCAGCGGGCACCACAGCCCCTGCTCCGCGGGGTGCCACCAGCCTGGGCACCAGCTGCCCCCAGGCAGGCCACAGAGCCTTTGCAGCTGGTGTTTCCTGTCACCCCGGGGGGAGTTGGGTTGGCATTTTGCATGTCGGGGTTCACTCCCTGACACATCTGCCCGGGAGGGGGCCCTCTCTTCCCTCGCCCCGCCTGGGTGGCCACCTCCTGCTTCTCACTCTTCAGGCCCGCCCCCCTATGCCCACCAACCGCCTGGGCCCCCCATGCTCTGCCGCCCGCGGCTCAAGCACCCCACTCTGCTCTTTCCCTCAGTTCCCGTCCAGCACCGACCCCTTCCAGAAGGCTCTGAGAGACGAGGAGAAGCGCCGGAAGAAAGAGGAGAAGCGGAAAGAGATCCGAAAAGGCCCGAGGATCTCCAGGTCCCAGTCTGAGTTGTAGCCCCCCGAGTGGCCCAGGGTTCAAGGGCCAGGAGGAGGCCACGCTGCTGCGTCACCAGCTGTGGTGAGCGCCAGCTGAGGCCCGCCCGAGGCCGTTTCCTTCCAGGTCCATCTGCGGAGCCTGGGCCCGGGTCCTTCAGACCATGGGGCTCAGCCAGACCCTGGAGCACTGGGTCCTGCGCTGGACCCTCGTGGGGAGGGCCACTTGCTGGCTGCCTGCCGCCCTGCCGGGGAGGTATCAGAACCAGGGCAGAGCCAGCACGCAGGCGGCCACAATAAAAGCCTGCAAACCTCCGGACCATCTCCTGGTCTGCGACGACAACAACAACACCGCTGTGGGCCCCAGGGCCAAACAACAGGATCCTCGGGCTTCCTAAAGGGAACCCCCTTGAGCTTGTTCCCGCCCCATCTGGAGAAGCCCCAGGTCCCAGTGGGGGAGGGGGGTGGCACTTAGCTTAGACCCTGGAAGGGTCAGGAGTGGCCAGTGTCCTGGGAGAGCTTGCAGCAGTAAGCTCTGTCCTTAGGGCTCTGGGGGCATGCACAGGGCAGAGCCTGCTGTCCTGACCAGCTTCACTGGTCAAGGCAGGGCTGCCCCCAGCAGGATTGGGGCCCACAAGCCCCCACACTGCAGAGGTATGCACGCTTGGGGCCGCGGGGGTCTCCTCAGCCCAGTGGTCTTGGTGGGCAGTCCTGACTGGGCCCTCCCCGGGCCTGTGACTTCCCAGTAAGTGAGTTTGAATGTGTTGGAGCCCCAGCCAGGCCTCAGCTGCTGTGAGGTTGGGCCCTTTTCAGGGAGGCCTGGGAGCATCCTGGCAGGCGTGGCCAGACAGGGCCGAGTCTCGCTTGCCTTCGCCCCCGCCTGGGGTGCCTCCATCCTCCCAGCTCTGCCTTCTGCGCCTTCGTATTTGTTGATCTCTTCCCTCGCCCTTGGGTGCGCCTGTTTTTTGTTTTGTTTTGTTTCTCCTGACACCCTTATAGAACAGAACCATCCTGCTCTCCCCCTCTCCTGCCCTTCCTTGCCAGGGTTTGTGCTGATCTCTTGTTCTGGGCACTTTGCTTTGAGTCTAACTAACTGCATCCTTGCAGCTGGGATTGAGTTCTGTGACTTTGGGCCAGGGGGATCCAGATACAAATTCCCCAGGTACCAGCCAGGGTCACTCCAGAGTAACAGCTGAATGCTGCGGGTGTGACTGTGACCCCCACCCCTCCCCCCAAAAAAAGTCTGTGGCTTAGCATGGACCAGCTTGTGGGAGGAGCCAGAGGCAGTGAGCACGGATACTGGGCATCGCCGGAGGGCGGTAGTGGTTTCAGTGGCCAGTGATATCATGAGGTTCCACGTGGCCGTGACATTGTTCCTGTTTCTAAGGAGAGCCTGGGAACTCCCCAGCACCCCTAAACACTGGCCCTCTTTCCCTTTGGGGCTAGGTTGTATATGTGATGAGGGTTGGGGGTGGCGTCCTGGGTATTGTGGGATGTCTCACAGCATTCCTGGTCCCTGCTCTAGATACCAGTCACCTCCTCCTGGCTTTGACAGGCCGTCCTGTCCCCAGACACTGCTGTCTGTCCGCGAGGGGCCAGATTCTCAGGCGCTGCACCCCTTCTCCGCCTCCAGCTGCTCTTCCGGCTGGGTCCATCGTAGCGTCCTGTTCTTGGCCCTGGGTCTGAGTCTGCGCTCTTCCTCACTCCTCTTTCTTCACCTGCCCCTTACATCATTTTTTCCACCTTAGTGTCCCTCCTCCTTTCTTGGCAACCGCAAGCTAATGGCCCACAGCTGATGGCGTTTGCCCTGTTGCCCGCCTGGCTTTTATGTTTTAGCTTATTCCCAAGCAAACAGATTTCTCACTCCCATGTGAGACACCCACCTCAGTGACACCATGGGGTGATGGCTCCGGAGGAAGCTTCCTGAAAGTGAGGGGGTGGCCTGAGGCTGACTGGGAGGTGGGAGAGGCAGGAGGTGGCGACTTCCGTGTCCAGCTCTCCTTGGGGGACCTGGGCTCAGGGCCCACTCTGGTCCCTCTTTGGACATAACAGTCAGCATGCCCAGTCCCTCCCCTTTTGATACTGACCCCGGGTCCTCCAGAATCATGGGGTGACCAGCAGGTGGTTTGCCAAGTGACACTGCATTTCTTCTGCCATTTCTCTTGAACCTTCGTTTATGCCTGACAGTGAGCTTGTTGTCAGGTGCTGTGGCCTGTCAGGGCAGCTTCTGGGGGGGTGGAGGGGACCCATGACCTACTCAGGCTCAAGCAGTCCTTGGCCCAGGCTGGGCAGCTTCATGTGGCCTGAGGGAGCCTCCTCCAGCTTGTGCTGGGTGCCGCTGTGTGGGGCGGAACTTTGGGGGGGACTGGAGTCTCCTAAATCACCAAGAGAACATTGCCTTCCTCCCACCCACCCACCCACCCCCCGCCATTATGTAACGATGCAAATAATACAAAAGCTGCATGATTTCCGAGGGTGTTTTGTTTTGTTTTGGGGCCACACCCGGCCGTTCTCAGGGGTGATGGCTCTGCACTCAGGGACAACTCCTGGCGGTGTCCAGGGGACCATACGGGATCCCATAGAGGGGGGACCCCGGTCGGCCGCAGAGCAAAGCCCTCCCCGCTTGTACTATCGTGCTGGTCCCAGGAGCTGCTTTATATTTGTGACCTTTTATTTCTGTCACATGTGCTCATGATGTAAACCATGGAAACGCCCAGTTGCCCTGAACCCCTCCGCTCCTACAACCATGACTTAACTTCCTTCCATTCTTTCTGCCCTTCGTGCGATAATGTGGGTCCTGTCCCTTCAATCACAATAGCTACCTTGTTTGGGCACTTACAAAGTGCCAGGCCCTGTGCCAAGTGCTGGCTGGCAGCCGCTCTCCTTGCCCGGGGGCTGTGGCCCATGTGGTCCCAGAGCCCTGACTGCACAGAAATGATCCTAATTGTAGGCTTCCTCGTCCTTTCTCGCCTGTTAGTTTCAGCACACACCCTTTACTTTCCCTGATCTCTTGTGCCATTATCTTTTATTTGCTTGTACTTTCATTGGCTTCATGTCTGTTTTCCGAAGACTGGAAGCCCTCTGTGGGCAGGGCACTTTGCCTAAGAACGGGATGTGAAATAAATATTTTCAAATGGATGCGCATGACAGTCGCTTAATCTTCACCACGATGAGAGGGGCTTTAACTCCTCCCGGAGTGAAAGCTCAGAACAGTTAACTTAGGCAGCCTAAGGTCACACAATGAGCCCTTTAGTGGATCCCTTTGTCTGCACGGCCTTTATGCGTTCACGTCTCGACCACAAAGCCCAGGCTGGCCTTTTGGAGACGCACCGTAAACTTAATTTCCCCTCTTCATCCGTTGTGAAAGTCCGGTCAGTAACTGCACGTTTTTATGTCCCGATCCTTAATCGCTCCTGCTCCTCCCTCGCGTGACTCAGTTCTTTCATCCCGCCCTTTATTGGGCTTCGCAGGGAGAGGCGGCCGTGCGGGAACGCCTCCTCCGAAGGAAGGCACGTTGTGGACTTTTCTTGGAGTCTTGAGGAGAAAATTCCTCGAAGTCTGTACATTAGTTTCCATCGTGACCAGAGCCGTGGGGTGGGGGTGGGCGGCGAGGAGATGCACGCGGGGCAGGGAATCCGCGGGAGGGCTGTGCCCCGACCCTTTCCAAGGGTCCTTTCCACGCGCCGGGCCGGACCCCCCACCCCCATACCACCACCACCCATCTGCAGGATGTGCGAGCGGTTCCGAGGCCCCCAAGGCGGGAACCCCGCGATCGGGCCAGCCGTGTCGCGCGGCAGCTCTTGGGGCAGAGACGGCAGCGTCGCGCGCTCGGCACGTGGGCGACGGGCGGCGCGCGTGGGTCCCGACTCGCTTCCGCCTTTGTGAGGGGCTTGGGGTGGGGGGGCGTGGGGGGAAAACGTGACGTCCAGGTCGCGGCCTCGGAGGAGTTTCAGCCTTGGGGTCCCGGGTGCGAGTCTCCCTGCCCTCCGGGACGGCCGGGCGGGGGCGGCGGGGGTGTAGCTGAGGGAAAGTCGTCCCCACTGTGGGGTGTGGGGGAGGCGGCGGCGGCGGCGGGCAGCGTTAACCCTTCCATCCCCCGCCGCCTCGGGGCGCGAGCCCGCCGAGACGAGGCCGCCGAAAAAGCAGCCGCCGCTTTAAACGAGGCGAGCGGGCCGGCCCGGGGAGCCGCGGGCCGGGCCTCTTATTGGCTGCCGGGCCGCGGGGGCGGGGCCTCCGTATGCAAATCCCAGCTGCTGATCGTGACGCGCCATCACCCCACGCGCCGCTGCGCGCGCCGATTGGCCGCCGGGCGCCTGGCCCCATTGACAACAAACAAGGGGGCGCGCGGCCCGGGGGGGCGGGGCCGCGAGAGGCGCGCTGGGGGGCGGGGGAAGTCCCGCCCCGCCCCGCCCCCTCCCGCGCGGCGCCAACATGGCGGCTGTTGGCAGCGGCCGGTGAGGCGGTACCGGGCGGGGGCTGTGGGGTGTCATGGGCGGCGGCGGCGGCACCGCCCCCAGGTCTCCCTGAGCGGGACGGCGGGCGGGGGGCCCTCTGCGCCGCCGAGCCGGGCGATGGACGAGAGCGGCGAGCTGGGCGGTCTGGAGACCATGGAGACGCTCACGGAGCTGGGCGACGAGCTGACCCTGGGGGACATCGACGGTGAGTTGGGGGGCCGGCGGGGGCGCGCGGGGAGGAAGGGGTTACGGCGGCGGCGGCGGCGGCGGCGCGCGCGGGTGCGCCTGCGCCCACCCCCCGGCCGCCCCGGCTCGCGCGGGAAGCGGCCCCCGGCGCGCGCGCTCGTCGCCGCTCAGCCCTTCCGGGCGCCGCGGGTGGGAGCCCCGGGCAGGCCCGCGGCCGCCGCCCTCGCGCCCGCACCTGTCACGCCGGACCCCCCCCCCGCCCCCGGCGCGCCCCTGCGTCTCCCGGGGATGATGGACACGCGCGCCGCCGCCCGCCGCGCTCCTCGGGGTCGTGGCCCCCGCGGGGACGGGCTGGGGAGCGGGCGTAGGAGCCCCGCCACCCGCCTCCCGAAGGGCGCCCCTGCGGGGGTGCCGGGGGTTGGGAGGGAGGGTCGGCCACCACCGGGCCAAGGTCACCCTCTGGTCCCCACCCCAGCCCCGAGCCCAGGGCCCCGGCCAGCCTTGGTGGCCCGCGCGGCTTCTGGCTGCCACCTGTCCTGTCCCCCGCGCGCGCGGGGGAGGAGCCGGTGAACAGGTCAGTAATAACAGCTCCAAGCGGCTGGCCCCCGTGGTGGTGATGCCCCCGGCCCCTGGGACTCTGCGAGCTTCTCTGGCGCCACCTCTTCGGGGCCAGGAGACAGTGACTCCTCTGGGGTCCCCTGCCTGGTGGCTGGGGCTTCCCCCGGCTCTCCTTCCTTGCATCTCTCGCTGGCTCTTTCGGAGCATCTGTCACCTCCCCTCCTGTGCAGGTGGATCTAAAGACTCGGGATCCTAGGGCCAGAGGCTGGTGACAGCAGCTAGTCACAAAAGATCCAGTTTCTCCTGTTCCCCAGTAGCTATTTTTTCGTAAAGCATTTCGCCCCTTGGCTTGATTTCCCCCCTGTGCCGTTTGGTGAGACCCTTTCTTGAACCGCCAACTCCAACCCAAGACGCCTCTATGCAGTGCTCCGAAATTCAGAGCCAGGTTAGCGAATGGAAGCCGGCCGCTCCCCGGGGACGGGCATGTTTGGAGTATTCGTGGCTGGCGGCTTGCTCTCTACAACATTCACATTCTCCATCCTCAAAAACCCCACCGGGTAGAAACAGCCGTTATACAGAAACTTCTCTTCGCCCCCTCACGGTTCCTGAAACTGTGCCCTGATCTTTCAGAGGGTCCTTCCCAAGGCGATTCATTAGTTTCCCCAAGAATACACGGCTTGAAGATGTATGCCCGGAGTTGCCTGCCAGCAAGCGCCCAAGAAGAAATCCAAGCACATCTTGCATTTCCACGCTCCAAGCAGCTCCTTATTTGTCTGCCATCTACAACCAGTTCAGTTAGCTAGTGGTTATGAATTAACTTGATCCCCCCACAGACTTGTGAGTGAAAGGTCCGTTCTGGAAACGACTCCTCAGTAGTTCTAGGCCTCCAAAGGTCCCTCGGCTCTTGGTCAGCCAGCACTCAAGTGGCTTCTGAGCTGGAGGGAACATGTAAGCTAGAACACAAGAGTTTTATGGCCGATTGGAACTTGACATGAGTAACAATAAAACCATAGCGCTGGCTGCGGCGCCGCTCAGGGCTGTCCAGAACATGGAGTGAAAGTCAGCAGAAAGGTGCTTGGGAGAGGCCGGCTGGCCGGAAGGACCACACCAAGAAGGCTGCAGATACAGGTGTCCTTCCACACCCACTGGGAGGGCAAACGCCTTTGTTTTATTTACCTAGAACTTAATATTTATGGAGAGCGTGAATGAATTTTGCATCCTTGAGCAGGGCTGTATACTAATCTGTCCTTGAGGTTTGTATGTGTTGTGGAGCAGATGTGCCCAGTGTGGACAGAATGCCAAGGACAACTTAAAAAAAAAAATAGAGCGATTCCTTGCAGTGCTGGGGTGGCCAGGGGGTGAGCGTGGGTCGAGCATGTGGCTGGGATCGAACTCAAGGCCTTGGACTTGGCTAAGCTTATACTCTGCCACTTCAGCCATATCCCCAGCCACCGCCACCACTGCCTCCAAGACAACTTTGAATAAGACACAGTGTCTTCTTGCTCAGGGAACTTCAGTTCTCAAGGGAAGAAACAAAAGTTAGGTAAGGTAATCGAATCCATTGGCAGGGTAGCAGGGTACCGTGAAGAAAATCGAATGGGGCCATGTTACAGAGACTTAACTGGGGTGGCAAGAGAGGCCTCTGGAAAGAGGGATCAGTATCTCCTTTACAAGAAATGCCCAAGTCTGGGTTTTTATGTGGAATATTCAGATTTTTGTATATTGGCTTTTTGTGTTCATTTTCTTTTTTTCCAAACATTACTGTAGGCCCAGCAAAGCCTAAGTTATCAGAGCCTTGACCTACCAGGGAATGTTCTGGTGTCCAAGGCCTTCAAGTCTCTTGTGATAGGATATCTCGATCTCTTCCTTTTGTGGTGCTTATCTCCTGTGAGAAAGGGCCTCCTGCAGTGTGATAAGCCTGGTCTGCTGAAGGGCAGAGAGATGGGCCAGTTTCTCCACTGGGATGACGAACCAGACAGACATGGAGGTATGGTCCAGCCTTTATGCTGGAACAAAAATGATGGCAGTGAAAAACACGACAGGCTTACGGTCAGATCAGCTTCCTTGGGAATATTGATAGTCAGTGATTTCATGAACTGTGTGTTTTGTATAAAGAAACAGTCGAAAACCTGAAAGGAGAGTTGAATTCACCTTGTGGGATTCTCATGCCAGAACAGATGTGTTACTCTATGTAGGAAGGGACTTGCTGAGAATTTTCGGTTAGGAAAATGACATAAATTGTAGGCTTAAAAAAAATTCAGTGCCACGGAGATAACTCCAAATGCTGAAACACGTGCCTTGCATGAGTGGGCCCCGGTATAGTCCCTGAACTCTCCGAGCACCAACACCCATAAACCTGGGGACTTCAAAAGCACTGCCAGCTGTAACGCTCAAGCACTGCTGAGGTTGGCCGTCATGCCCAGGTGGAGTATCACCAGGAATGGCCCCTGAGCCCTCTAACCACTGCTAGTGAGACCCCCCAGGAAAGAAAAGAAAAAGGAGCAGGAAAAAAATGAAATGTGGTGTGCAAGAATGACCCACCTGTAGACAACAAGAACCATTCAGACGTGAGCCGATGTCACTGAGAGCCATCAGGATCCTTGGGAGAGTGACTGTTTTGGGGCCTGGCAAGCCATGGCCTCCGTCATGCTGGGACTCTGAAGGCAGCAGAAGTGAGATGCGAAGGTGCCTTCAAGGCTTTGATCTGGGCACTGGAGGTTCAGAAACCTAGGAGAAGGATAGTGGATGTTGCTTAGCAGTGAGCGGTATAGCACCTGCCTTGTGTGTGTGCGGGGCCCTGGCCCTGGTTGGCACCGCAAAAAGAAATCAGGGAGAGATGAAAGTTTCCCTTGAATGGGCCAAAACTGAGGTGAGGACGTGGGGTGGCGTCCAGTAGGAAACGGGAGGCAGAGCGATCCTCAGAAGGTCAGAACTAGGGCCAGAGATGAAAGAGCAGTCATTGTTAAAGAATCGAGACTAGAACTGACAGAAGAATCTAGAACCAGGAGGTTAGCTCACGTGGCAGAATCTCATGAACTAAGGGTGAGAGCTTTCTGTGTGTGATGGAGATAGTCTAGCCGGGGACTGCAGGATCACGGCCGATCTCTGACAGTTGCCTGGAAGGGCCCAAGAGGAGTGAGGGGTGAGTGTCATGGGCAGGTAGAAGCAGCTCTTGTCTTTGGAGAGGGGTCAGAAACGCTTTCTGTGAGTTCGTTTATTTCCTGAGAATTGATTTGTCATGAACATTAGTGAAATAATGCGATATGTGATTTCCTTGACTGAACATGAAGTCGCGGTTCATCCATGATCCCCCGTACATCTCACACCTCATTTTGTTTATCCAGTCATTGATGGACGTTTGGCTTGTTTTCACTTCGGGGCTATTATAAATGAAGCTGCTTTGAACATTCTTGTTCAAGTTTTTGTGGGGACCTGTTTTCATTTTTGGGGGTAGATACATGTTTTGGTTGACATTTGCATCTTGCTTAGACATGTAAACTGAGATCTTGTGACAAATTCCCAATGTGGTGGTCAGTTCTATTGTCCGCATTGATGTCTTTCTGGAGTCTTCCCTTTTACCCGATCTGACAGGTCAGCTGCCCCTATATGTCCTGGAACTATGCTTAACTGTCCCCAAGGGATCACTTTTTTTTTTTTATGTGGTTTTGGAGGAAACACACCTGGCTATCCCCAGGGCCTACTCCTGATTCTGTGCTCAGGGATCACCCTTTTTTAGGGGGGTGTTGGACCACTCCGGGCAGTGCTCAGGAGTTACTCCTGGCTCTACACACAGGACTTACTCCTTGCTAGAGCTCTGAGGGCCACATGGATGCTGGGGATTGAATTGGGTCAGCTGGATGCAAGGCAAATGCCCTACCTGCTGTACTACATACTATCTATCTAGCCCTGGCGGTGTTTGGGAACCATTCGTCAGGCATTGAACCTACGTTGAACATATGCAAGGCAAGCATCTTAACCCCTGGACTGTCTCTCCAGCCCCTGAACATCACTTTATGCCAGAATTTTGAGTGCAACACTCATCGTCTTTTAACTTCTCGTTACTGAAAAGCCTGTTATTTTGATTCCTGATCCTTTGTGTGTGGTCTCTCTTCTTTGGAAATTCAGACTTCTCTCATCTTGTCCTTGGTCTGCTACAGGCCCTGGTACCGATCATGGTGCAACTAAGCTGCTGCTCGCTCCTGCTCATGTGCGCTCTGAGCTCACTGTCACATCTGCTGTCCGTGCTTTTCCCTAGCTGGGAGTCCCCACCTCGTTCCCTTCCCCTCCCTCCCCCCATTCCCTGAGCCTTTTTAGTGCTACTGTCTTGGGACTCTTGCTGACTTCTACCTGTGACGATCTGCTCCATTGTGAGTGCCCTGGTAGTGGCCGGCAGCCAAAAGATACTGCACAGTGCTCAGATGAGCACAGAAAGGCACTTCGCACTTGGGCAGTGAGTGGGCC